ATATAGGAGTGCGTAGGACATCAAACGAGCCTTAATTTAAATAGATACCTATAGGCCTTATACGAAAGGATATTAAAAATCTACCTAATAAGCTATTATAGAGGCTAAGTTTATATAGTCGTTTTTCCACTAGGCTAAACCGTACCCTAGTTCGGATCCCATTCGGATATATGTAGGAACGGGCGCTGAGCCGTTACACCCGACGGATACCACTCGGGCCGGAGGCGCGACAGCCACAGGGATAGAGTATATAACCCTGCCAGAACCCTTGTGTATCCCCCCAAGGATTCGTCTTAATCTACTCATTGATATATAGTGCCTATCTGCGAAACACCTCACAAAGTACTACTATTAACTTTTAGTAATAGGCTAATTTTAGTTAGTAAGGTGAAACTTTTTACATAGTACTGTATATAGCGATCTTCTTGTAAGAGTTTAGTATTCGCTAGTCTGTTTACAAGTGTTTAGGCTATATATGAGTACGATAAGAGACCATGGAACTGCTGAAGCGCAACGAACTACACTGATTCACCGACTGCACACCAGCCAACCGCTAACCCTAAGAAAGTACTCAGTCGACCTGTACATCTCTTCAAGGTCACATGTGTCCTCATCTAAACATTCATACTACTCTTTTTAGCATCTGTAGACTCATTACGATCATACTAAACTTACTTGATGCTTATAGTCTTTGTTTCAACGAAATGCAGAAGTCCCTGCCGTCCACCCTCCCGTCCAATGCCACTCTGCTTGTTGCCGCCAAATGGAGCAGCAATGCTGAAGGACTGAGAAGAGTTGATGTTGACATTGCCAGAGTCAATTTGCTTCGCAATGCGGAGAGCACGGCTCGTCGAAGCAGTATAGATGCATGCTAAGAACGTATTAGTTATGTACATCTTAGGCGTTTGAAGTGTAAGACTTACCAGATAGACCAAAAAAAGTGTCGTTAGCCATCCTGATGGCTTCCTCTTCTGTTTTAAAAGTCTTGATAGTAAGGACTGGGCCGAAAATTTCCTCGCGGTAAATGCGAGCATCGTCCTTGGGGTTAAGGAAGATAGTTGGCTCCACATAGTATCCGGTGTTGGAATAGTTGTGGCGCTTTCCGCCAGTGATGAGCTCGGCCTCTTGCTTTCCAATCTCGAAATACTTCATCACGCGTTCATATTGCAAGCTGTCGGCTAGTGGTCCAAAGATCGTCTTTGGGTCCAGAGGCGATCCGGTAGTCTGAGATACTTGTTCAAACCGAGCCTTCAGCTGCTCAATAAAGTTCTGGGCAATACTTTCCTGAACAAAGACCCTGCTTGCTGCTACGCATGCCTGGCCAGTGTTGAAAAGAAAGTTTAGGCTGTGATGTTGGAGAGCGTTGTCCAAGTCCGCATCGTCGAAGATCAGACTCGGAGATTTTCCACCGAGCTCGAGGACAACTCGTTTCATATTGCTGTATCTTGTAAGTTCGCTGTCGGCTTTGAACACCATATACCCAGACATACCTTTTTGCTGCAAGTTCTTGGATTTTTTTCCCGGTATCAAGTGATCCCGTGAACGATAGCTTGTTGATGTCCATGTGAGCTGACAGCATCGCTCCTGTAGAGCCGGCACCAGTGATGATATTGATGACTCCTGGAGGGAAGCCGGCCTCTTTGATTAGATCGCCAAGTTGAAGCACGCCAATTGGAGTCTTTTCCGATCCTTTGTAGACGACTGTGCATCCAACAGCGACAGCTGTAGCAACTTTAGAGCCGAAAAATCCCGGCGCCCCGTTCCAGGCACCAATGCCAGCACACACTCCAATGGGGTCGTACTGGACAACCTTCGAGATTGTCAGCTTATGTTTAGCAATATAAGAATACCACTCACCCTGTAAAAGCCATCGTGCGCCGGATATTGCTCGCCAAGTAGTTTGTCTGTCCATCCAGCATAGTCTGATTCAAGTATTAAAGTTCTGTAGGTATAATGGAGCTGGTGAACTTACATCTAAAGGCACCAGTGAATATTTTGTAAAGCATCTTAGTGGTAGAGATGGCCTGGCCCATGCACGTGCTTTCCCAAAGAGCTAGCTCATCAGCATGCTGATCGACCAGATCTGCGAACTTTAGCATAACTGTCGATCTTTGCGCCGGTGTCCATTTGGACCATTCTCCGTGGAAAGCTGCTCGCGCTGCTGCAACAGCTTTGTCTACATCTTCCTGACCAGCAACTTGGAGCTGATCTGTTACAAGCGACTCATCGTGTGGGCTGTAGACAGCCAACGTTTCCTTGTTTTGAGCATCTACATACTTTAGGTTGTGAGTTAGCAGTCACAGAGAGCTTTTTTCATGCTGAAGTTTGGATCAATACCTCATTGTTGATGAAGAGTTGGGTGCGCATCTTTTCTCTCTTGATATTGATTTTGTTGCTTCGTAATGTTCAAGTTTGATAACCTTTTGCCTGATTGCTGGTCAGTCAGGAAGAACCTACTTATATAGGTGTTCTGCTGTAGGATTACACATTATCCACTATAGTCTGCTAATGGTATCGCTATCCCAGCTTGCATACGCCGGACCAAGAAATCGGAAGTACTTGAGACATAGGTATAACGACTGGGCCTTAATGGATGTTAGACTTGGGTGATAAATCCCTCCTTCTACTATGCGATGGAACTATTATGCTCAGCATCCCTGGCTTTTCCTAATTGTTCGGACCATAATATTCGTCCGACGCAACGATACGATTCTAGTAGGTTAGCCCTGGTACCACTAGCACCTCGGATGAGATTTTCGGGCTTGGTCAATGGGCCCGTGGGTTACACTATAGTCGGAAAAAAGAGTCGGACGAAAGGTTTGTCACTAGTCGTGAGCCTATAAGACAGATGCGATTGTTATAGATAGCTATGCAACACTACACTAGGGTGGCTGGAAGTCGTCAAACTGCTGCTCCGTAAAAGGGCTAACATTAGCCGACGGGCAGCACTTTACGCCACACGTCTAATTGCGGAAGCGGCGATCGGTAAAAGAAGAATGGCTAAATTGCCATCATCGAAAGATGCCGACGTGTATGCGTAATCACCTAACACGAAATTTAAGGTCGTTATTATGGCTGCAGAGGAACAATCGAGTATTAAACCCGTCAGCAACTTCACATTTCTGCGGTCGTTCATTCGCACTTGGACCACAGAGTATTCTGAACAATCTTGAGTATGTAGTGTCCTCTTTTTGAAAGGCATATATGTAGTTGGGCGAGCTCGAACGCCAGCGTCGTGACAATGTAGCCATTTCTAGGTCTCAGTGCCGGGTGCTTCAAACTGCGTGCACAGCTTACACCGCGACAACACGATAATGACGGACTGCAGGATAGTCCAGGTTCACCGCCCACATGAGCGAAAATTATGAAACTTTCGCTTTCGATCGCCCGCAGCATGGCCTGCTCTTGTAGTTTCATGTCCTGTCCCCGCCTCCCGGTCCAAGAAACCGGCCGTCACTGCCCTATTGCACGTCTTACTTGTATACCTCTCTACCCTTGCATCAATCGCGTTCTCTACCATCTCCCCCGCCTGCTCAACCAAACGATCAAGTTCATCAGACAACGCAACCAACTTCTCCTGAACGACATTGTCGATCTCGTCACCCAGCTCTTCTAGCGCGTCCTCTTTCCGTTGTTTTATATCCAACTTCTCTTCCGCCACAATTTCGAGGAATTCCTCGTCGGCTGCCAGACGGAGAGAATTTGCATCATACTGCATATCGTTGAAAATGGTACTGAGTTTCTTCTCAGTATGTTTGACGGCACGTTTTGTAAGGAGCGAGCGGAGTTGGTGGATGGATTTGATTGGAGGCGCTACTTTTGGGTGTCTGTTTGGATCGATAGAGGACGATGAGGATGGGGAAACTGAGCGGGAGTGGTCGATGAAGGAGGCGAACATGGCTGGGAAGAGGTTGAGCATTATGCTGCGGACGTTATTCTCTAACGCACATGCGTCATTTACGTCAGTTTTAGGGTTGAGTGGATACGAATTCTCAGCATAAGAGCGAGAATGCGCTGATGCGGCGCACAAAGATGTCATACGTGGTGATTCATCAATCGTAGAGGACAAATTCGCCGGGCTGTTGGGCAGCGATGCCGTAGTAGCCTTCTCTGTTGGCGAACCTGGAGGTATGAACAGGCGCTTCGTTGGCGGTGATGGACTACTGGATACTGCAGGATTATGCATCAGCTAAAAAATGTAGGTCTTGCGATTACCTGGGAACACTCACCCCCTCGGGGCCGCTTGTACGTCGCCTTTGTGTACGGAGGAGGCTCCTCTGTTACCACCACGCTCTCCTCGTCGGGACTGAAGATAGTCCAGTCGACCAGTCGCCGTCCTCTCAGGTTCTTCTCATCAATAGGAAACCCGTAGAATCGTTCTGGCTGGCTGACAATACTCAAGAATGACGCGATACGTTTACGATCCAGCCATTTCAAGTCAAACACGATCTCGATATGTTTGGATTTGGCCAAGCCAACAAGGCACCGAGAGGGGATCTGGCAGCTCGCCTTGGGCACGATGCTGCTGGACGCAGTAGGGCAGATGATTGGGCACGGTTTCTGAAGATGTAGTGACAAAACATGAATCTTAGAAAAGCCATTTCGTGCGACATATGTTTCATCTTCGGGTGAGAGAGCACGCTTTGGAATTTGGCATTTAGTCGTAGTAGGGAGGAGGTTATCAGCATCATAGATTAGATCAAACGGTTGTTTATCCTTGGTGTCGTATACGTGTGTGTTGTGTTGGAGTGAGAAGGTAGCAAAGAGGCGGTCGTTGTCATACTTGACTTGAAAAGTGCATTGCAGGAATGAGGCATCTCCGGATGGAGAAGCGTTGCACGCCAGTGCAGGAATGCCGCCCTTGCGCAGTAGATTATATGTCATACTGTATTTATCGTATCTGGTCTATCTGCCCAGATAGCTCTCCAACACTAAAAAAAACTATGCACTTACAACGTTACGCCCTTGCAACAAAACGCGTTGAAGCAAGATGCCCTCCCACCCGAGCTTTTGTACAGAGCAGCCCTGACTCAGCCGATGATTTCCTGACGTGTCTGACGATACACCATGCATAATACACCTGTCTGGCTGCGAACCACCCCTCAGGTTGTTGACAAGCCAACACGTGGGTCGAGACCGAAACGTGCTGTGATTGTCAACGTCCCGAGGCCTTGTGAGATTCGCAAGGATGGTGGCCGGAGTATCAGTCTAGGTTGTGTTGGTGAACGGCGAGGACGAGCGACAAGTGAAAGAATAATCAAGAGAGGATAGGAAGCAGGGCTGGACGAGCCAGCGCGTGAAGCTAAGGTCGAAGCGCGCCGTGATCACCGGCGTCTGAGTGGGAATTGCGAGAGGGTTGAGGTTGAGGTTTGGATCGCAGGTGACATGTAGGTGGAGTGGAGAGTGTGCGGCGATGGAGGCGATGTCGGTAGTGATGAGTGGACGTGGTGGTGGTAGTGGTGGGTGGCTGGAGGATGCCTGGTGGAGCCGCTGCACAATGCGATTATTTCTTGGCACGCGCTAACGAGTCAGCCACCATACCTAGCCCCCTACATACGTACGTTGGCTGACTCAGTCTCATTCACCCCTTGAGGTTTACACGCACTCTGGATTTTCTTTCATAACCACACACTACAACACAGCTATCCTGAGTTCCTATGGCGCTTGGAAACGCAAGGATACAACCGAATTTTACAACTAGTTTAATGTGGATGCGACGTGAACGCGAAAGCTCTGAATGGTTTGGCGGTCATGCAATGCATAGCCAGTCAATCTGATTGTCGCATTGGAGGAGCCACATGTAATGACTCAACACTAAAACCCAACGGCAGAGAACATGTGGTCGATCAGTCATGCACAGTGTCATTCTTGATGCTGAGTAGCTGCCAGTCGGGCTCAAGAGCTATTTGTTAATTAACTTTCTCATATGTTATAGGATTGGGACATAGGTCAAAGTTAAAGCCTTTGTTATATTTAGTACAGTACCAAAGTGAATAAATATCTTTCTTCCAGTAGCGCTGCAGTTTTGGGGGAGCAGTCTATCATCTAAACTCCAGTCGTCCTGCCTAGTCCGACAAATTAGAAGGGGCAACAGCGGTCAAAGTAATCGGAATTTGACCCAAGCTCGTATCGTTCCAATATAACGCATACAAATGCCGTCCAACATCAAGCCCAGTCCACAAAGACTCTAACTCGCCATCAGATGTAACAAGTGTCGCCAATGAGCCAAAGAGCCGAAAGCCAGAGGTAATTCTGTTCCCAGATGTTGAGTTGCCATTGATGAAGCCTACACGACGATCGGAGGTTTGGGGTGTTGGAACAGAAAATGTTGTGTTCAGCCATGGTGACTCCACTGATGTAGTTGTGTTCGGTGAAGCGAACCATTCGTTTTTGGAATCAGATGTAACTAGAGATATGTCAACATTGTGTAGATTGCCAATGAGCCTCGGCAATGTGTACTTACATCGCACAATTGTAGGATTGGTAACGTTAAGCTCATCTACATCTACAAGATATGCATACCCTTCGATTAGTCAGATCGTTTCCTGTAATCGATATAATTTGTGTAGGTTGTTTACCGTCCATAAAGACCAAAGGATTTCCACCAAATTGACGACTGTATCCATACAGAGTGAAGTTCTGCGATCCCTGGCGGTTTTTTCCACCCAACACAACACATGGCAGTGTAGAAAGAAGTGCGAGGGACTTGAAAGTCAACATAGTGAACAATTTTTCTCCTGAATTGGTAGTCTAGTGACACGAACTGTTTTCAAGGAGTTGCCACACGATGGGTGTCCTCTTTAACGATCTTGTGTGTTGGATGAGATTTGATTCTATAACTTGAAAAATTAATATCATGCTTGTTTCCTACGCAAGCATGCGTCGTCGTCATCAACTGGGCGCAGTCATTCTCATTTAGACATGGATCACTATCTAGACGGCCTGTGCACCGAGTCAGGGAGATCTGAAGATAGATTGATTATCGTGCAAGGCAAAAGTTTTATATGTGGAAACACTAAGGTATCAGCGGTTGGAACTACTTCGAGAAAATCTATACCGCATTTAGTTCTTAGTGTGGTATCCCTTCCATAAACAATAATTCCTTGCCTGACTACCCTGTATTTTCCCCTTAGTGGACCCGCTAACTTGGATCTTGCTTGCTGAAACGAAGCCAGGTTAGTGACCCACATACATGATCAGGCCTATACTCATAGTGGAAAAATACCGGTTGCTCCCGCTACAGTTACATAGATCTTCGTGGTATACATACTAGGGGTCATTATCGATGCCCGATTCCGCGAGGTAAGGGTGTGGCCCAACATTTTTTTCTGGGAAACAGTTATCTGATGCACTAGACGCGAAACAGGAATCAACAATACAAGCAACAGTATTAGGGGCAATGACTGAAACTATCGAAAGCTTCGACAAGTGCTTGGCATAGGTACCTCGCTCTGACTCGACATCGTAGTGTTTGCTTATGCGTCGCGTTGCTGGCAAAGACTCAACCAGGTGTAGTAGATTTGGTGATGACGAATCTTATCTTCCACCTGAAATAGCATCGGATGATAGCAACGAAGCTCAACACGAAATATGAGCTAGATGCTGAGTTTGTCTTGGCCATAGCTTGGACATCAAGCTTAAAGACCATCTTCATTACCACTTCTCATGTCCATACTTTTTCCATGAGTCTCTGAATCCTTCAGATTATAAAGGTTTTGACTTGAGTTTCTCGTCGCATCATCTACGAAATGCGCTTCCTAAGTGGCTTCAGTACCGGCTGGCTAATCGCCCACGTTTCAGCCCTCAGTGTCCGCAATGACCTGCAAGCGCATCACCGTCGTTCGCATAGTCACTTTTTAACTGAACGAGCAGCTTGCTCTGGCAATTCTGCTACGTTTCGTTCAACATGGTGCGACTATTCCGTAGATACGGACTATGCAATAAGTAGGCCTCTCATCGACAACGAAGAATGACATAACTCTAATCGCAACGATATCTAGTTGTCCCTGATACAGGAGTAACCCGAGAATATTGGCTCGATTTGACGGAAGTAACGGTTGCACCCGATGGAGTTTCCCGAACAGCCATGGCTGTGAACGGAACCATCCCTGGTCCAACATTGTTTGCCGACTGGGGCGATACGGTAGTTGTACACGTTAACAACAGACTCGAAAACTCCCAGAATGGAACGAGTATCCATTGGCACGGCATCCGGCAAAACGGTACAAACGATCAGGATGGAGTCTCATCTATAACACAATGCCCCACTGCCCCGGGAAGCTCGATGACTTACACATGGCGAGCGATGCAGTACGGGAGCACTTGGTATCACTCGCATTTTGCACTTCAAGCTTGGCAAGGTATCTTCGGCGGGCTCATTATCAACGGACCAGCGACGGCCAATTATGATGAGGATTTGGGGATGCTATTTCTCAACGACTGGGATCATCAGGTGAGCATTCTCAGCTTTTCAGTATTGCTTGGGCCAATGTAGTGTATACTGATGATGATATAGACAGTCGATGAGCTTTACATGTCTGCTCAGAGCAGTGGGCCGCCGACTCTCGACAATGCTTTAATCAACGGCACAAATACCTACGAAGATGGTGGTCATCGTTACAACGTATCTTTCACTGAAGGTTCATCGTACAGGATACGCCTGGTGAATGGTGCTGTTGATACCCATTTCAAGTTCATGATAGATAACCACACAATGACTGTGATTGCATCTGACTTGGTACCTATCCAGCCGTACAACACGACAGTCTTGGATATTGGCATGGGTCAACGTTACGATGTGAGTCAAAGCCCAGTCTACCAAGGTGTGCAGCAAGAAACTGAGTGTCTACAGATTATTGTCACAGCCAATCAGGCATCTACTGCGGAAAACTTTTGGATGCGTGCCATTCCTCAGTCCGCCTGCTCTGGTGAGTATTTTCAGTAAATCGACTGTACTAGTGATCCGCTAATAATTTTTAGATGTCGAAAATGCGAATGACATCCGCGGTATCGTTTATTACGGTTCTTCGCCCTCTATACCCTCTTCATCAGCCTACAACTATACGGACAGCTGTGGCGATGAAACAGACAACCTTATACCTTATGTTGCGAAAACAGTTTCAGAACCAAACAGTAAAAAGGCTGAGATTGCAACTGTTGGCTCTAACTCCGAAGGTCTCTTCCGCTGGTACCTGAACTCTACGTCCATGGTGGCAAGTTGGGCAGATCCGACGTTACTACAGATACTGGACGGAGAGACCTCTTTTACAGAATCAAATGCTGTGATTGAGCTACCCAACGCTGGGGAATGGGTATATGTCATAATTGAGACTGCCCTACCTGTTCCGCATCCTATACACCTTCACGGGCACGATTTCTTTGTCTTAGCACAAGGATCTGGTGCCTATTCGTCTGAAGTAGCTCTGCAACTGGAAAATCCTCCAAGAAGAGATACAGCAATGCTCCCTGCCTCTGGGTACCTTGTGCTGGCGTTCGAGATCGATAATCCCGGGGCCTGGCTGATGCATTGCCACATAGGTTGGCACACCTCGGAGGGATTTGCTTTGCAGTTTGTGGAACAATATGACAAAATCGTGAATATAACTCACGCAGATCAAGTGCAGCAAGGTTGCAGTAACTGGGGGGGCTTCCAAAGGAGCGCAAGTATTATTCAAGACGATTCTGGCGTTTAGATCGTTAGGACCACGACCCTCTTTCATGTATAACAGCTATTTCAGTAATAATGGACAGTCTAAGAGACCTTTACTCTTAATCCCTTGGAGTCCTCGGGCATGACAGGGACAACAGTATCACTTGTAATCACCAAGTCAGCAGCGCTCGTCTCAAACAACTGCAACGTCCCAACGTCATCCTTCCCCTTGATCTGATCAGTGCCGTACACCCTGAAGAGCGCTGCCAATGTAAGATAGAGCTCTGCATAAGCAAGATTGATGCCTAGACACGCTCTTCCACCCTTTCCAAACGACACCAGATAACGTTCGAGGCGGGCGTTATCGATCCAGCGCTCGGGCTTGAACGCGTGCGAGTCTGGGAAGACACGTTCATCATGATGAACCAGGTTGCTAGTCATGCTCAGAGGTGTTCCAGGCGGGATTCGCCATTCGCGTTGGTTGTCATTGTCCTGGTAGACGAGTGTCTCATCAGGGCAGATGCGGTGCAAGCGGTGTGAGATGGCGTGGCTTAGGCGCACGCCTTCTTGGACCACGCCAGTAAGGAATGGAAGAGCCTCGAGTGCGATAAGATTGAGTGGTTGTGAGGGATCGGGGATTGCAGCTTCCAACTCAGTCTTGAGCTGACGCAGAATCTCTGGGGTGGCGAGCACAAAGTACGTCGACACGCCCAGCGCCCAGGCAGTAGTGATAGTTCCAGCAGCAACAACCACTTCCCCTTCTTGCCAGAGACGATCTGTAGATTTATCATAATCCGAGAGCTTGCTATTGAGAATCTCGTGAAAGATGGTACGGCGTGTCTTGTCGTAGGTGTGCATCTGATGTGCGTGCTGTATCTCGGCGACTTGACGCTTCACGCTGTTCTGAAGCTGCGAGTACGCGCCCATTGCAGGGCTCAATTTTAGCAGCAGTGATTCAGGCAGCTTCTTCAGCAAATCCATCAACCATGTGAAATGCTTCAGTACATGCCCGGCTTTGCCGCCCTGCAGCATAGCATCCCTGAATGACGGGTCAAAGTCTGGAGCCTCTAGTCGGTGGTCGCTTCTCCCGAAGGCATAGTCCTCAACAATGTCTAGAAAGCAATATTAAAATCAATGTCCTATCTATAGATTCAAGAAGGGTGTCTCACCATTAGTCAGTGCAGCGTAAGCATCATCCAGCTTTAGTGGTGAACCAGATTTGGCAAACTCGCGAAGACGCTCCAGCAGAATTGTCATGTTTCGATCTATCAGCGGCTGCAGTGCTCGTACGCTCTGCTTGGAGAAATACGGCGAAAGAGACGCCCTGCGGACACGATGCTCATCGTGATTGAGTGTGCCGATCAAGCTCTCATCGACACCAAAAGATCTGGTGATCCAATCCCACTTGTCGCGCTTGCGTCCACTGCCAGCATAAATCGTATCATAGAACTCTGGATCTGCGATGTGTATTTCGTCTGGGTTGATCCGGACGACGGGTCCTCCACGGCAGTTAGTGCAGCTCGCTAGGAATTGGACCAGCGTAGATACATACCATATATCTTGTGAAGCCGGCCGATCTTGAAGGTATATTCCGGTTCAGCGATGACATCGTACCAGAACTCGTACCAATAGGTCCATGCCGCAAGCTTAGGTCCCGGGAAGTGCGCAATCGGACTTAGAAAAAGGCGATACACTGTAACATAGCAGACGTAAAGGATAGAGCCTATAAGCAGAGACAGCAAGGTCACCGGTAGGTCTATCGTTACAAGCGCAGAGCTCAATATCGCCATTTCGAAAAGTTTCTATGATATTGAATGATGACAACAAGCGAGATGGAAGTGAATGTGTCTGCAATCGAAATATAGGCGCTTGGATAAAATGGCAGCACCGCGAGAGTTGGTGGCGCGTATCCTGCCGCATTGTTTGCGCCCAAGAAGGATTTACTAATTAAACGCATTACATGCAGTAGTATACTGTAAGGCCAGTTGCAGGGATCGGGGAACGAATGGGCCGCTAATGCGGCGGTTGCATGCGCCACCCCGGCAGGTGAAGTACGTTGTAGTAAGCTCGCTAGGCTAACGCTGATGGGAAATTCCATGTCCGGTACATATGTATGCAATCGACCCAAGTAGCATTTGCTTGCGTCAGGTATCCATCTAGCTTCGTCACTCTCACGGCAATTCGTGCTCGAATTTATCCAAACCCCGATGGCTATGGAGCGAGCTGATTTTGTGGGCTTTATGTGGCTCTCGACACCCTTTCTACTCTTTTTAGGCTCTAGCATGCAGCGAGGCCTCCGCTGGATGCTTTTACTTCCCTTTTTGGCTTTATGCCTCCTTCTTGTTTTGTTCATTCCCTACGGGTCTGATACAGCCAAGAACTATACGTTTGGTACAGGTTAGATCACACTATAATCTTAGTTGGTCATAGCTGCTGACAATGCCATTGTGCAGTCTTTTACGTCGGCTTGACGAACTTCAATCTGCTTGTTTTAGAAGATCCATACGTGGAGCATATACGAACTAGGATGAATAGCAATGGAGAGAGAACTTTCCCGAATTTCAGCCTGCTTTCTTCACCCGAGAGGATTCGGTGGTGTCTTAGTAATGCCTATTCAACCCGGGGAATCGGTTGGAATTGGGGCACTGCACGTCTTCCGTCAGCCCCTCCAGCGGGCTTATCCAAGATGTCCTTTTTGAAATTAGCGGTGAAAACAATTTTGGAGCAGTATGCCATTCACGATATTGCAGCAGCCCTTCTTCTTTGGTTAACCGAAGGAGGACGAAAGAGTATACTCGACATGGATTTCGCTCTGCGAAGTTTGGCGACCGGTTGCTGGTGGGCATCAACAATTGCGCCCATGGACATTGTCTACCACATTGTGTGTTTGGTCGGTGTTATGTCTGGCCTTTTCTGGAATGTTATCGAAGAGGCTCATCCTCTGAAAGGTCCATGGGTTACATGCTACACTTTGAACAGTTTCTGGAATCGCACATGGCACCAAAACTTCCGCAGAGCACTCCAAATCCCAAGTCGCTTTGTCGCCAGGCACATCGTGTGTACTCCGAAAGGCACATTGCTGAGTCGTCAAGTCCAGTCCTACATGGCATTTGCTATTTCTGGCCTATATCATTGGGTAGCTGCAAAGATGGTCCTTCCGTCACAGAGTTTTGCGAAAACCCTGGTCTTCTTCTCATTGATGCCGACTTTCATGTTGCTAGAGGACCTGACTATCTCCTTTGCTCAAAAACAGTTTGGATGGCGGGACAAAAAATGGCGTCTCTTGGGCTACATGTGGACATTTTTCGTTCTGACTTCACTAGGCGCAGGGTTCGTGGATGACTGCGTTAAAAATGGTCTTGTGACCTCTTTTCCGGTGGTTCCATTCTCTCCTACGTATGCTATCTTGAATTTCAGAGTCCTAGGCGAACGATAGCATTTTCCAGGCTATGACACAATACTTCGAAAGATAAATTTTTGTATGCTTCTTCACCTTTCCCATTTTTCGCGGAGGATGCTTTTTGGACACTGATAGTAAATCAACTGATCTTGTGCCCCCCAGGTAACAGATAAGTGAACACTCCTTCAGGGTCATACATCGCCCGTACCCTCTTCAAAAACTCGATGTTATCCTTTCCGTAGCTTTCGATAGGATTTTGGTCTAATGCAGCGTAGTTCATGTACTTGAAAGGGTGATACAGGCCTCTTTCCTTAGCAGCTGAAATAGAATGCTCCAATACCGCTTTGATACCGTCGATGACCACTCTGTCATCAGATCCATAAGACCATTCCCATCCGAAAGAACAGACTGTTGAGTGACAACTGTCAGCGCCGCCGGAAGACGAATGTTTGGCGATACTTACCAACCAAAGGTGCTTCAGAATCATGGAGGCCCATGATATTCCCTCCCCGTTTCGCTTGAGCTCTCAAAAGGTTTTGCGTCAATGGTTGGATTCCGAGCATTGGCGCAAATCGCTGGTCCTTATGCAGACCATTATCTAACGCCTTTTGAACTTGCTCTTCGAAGATCTTTACCATTAGGATTAAGAGTCTTGCATCGGCGGTAAAAGTTGCTGTTGTGAAACGGCTTCGTATGCCAGCAGGCTCTGACTGATTTAGCTCATCCGCGAGGTCCGACAACGAAGTCACTCTGGCTGTGCTAACAATCTTCGCCGTACCATACACCTCCACATCATCCTTGAACTGGGTAAAGATAGGAGGCTCAGACCTTCCTAGAGCATCATACTGCCCTAAAGCCCAGGCAAAGCTTCCTTGCTTATAACCCAAGCCAGCGAACAGTGATACATGTGGATCGGAGGGAGCGTTCTGTGCAAACTTGACAAAACCATGAGTAAGAGCGGATGTTACCGATGGCTGGAATGGCCACACATGTAGTCCTCCCCACATAGGACCCTGCTGGAACATGTCAAGGTCGAAATGAGTGACAACGCCAAAGCTGTTTCCGCCGCCGCGCAGAGCGCGGTAGAGGTCTGAGTTTGACGAGTTGGAAGCAATGACAAGACTACCATTTGCAAGAACCACCTGGATTGACATCAGTTTGCGCTTCATTTGCGGCATCAATGTTATTACCTCGTAATTACGGACATTGTCACAAGCCCAGCCATGCAGACCGGAAAAGTGGCTAAGTCCTCCACCCAACGACAGTCCGCCAACACCAACTCCAGTGAGTCGGCCACCCACGACTGTTTTGTTTGATTTCTCAAGTTGTTTGTAAACGTCGCCCCATTTAGCTCCTGCACCGACTCTGACCATGCCGTCACTCTCGTGCAATTCGACATTCCTTAGCCCTGCCATATTGACAGTGATGCCGCCATTGATGTTGCTTGCACCAGGAATGTCTGAGTGCCCGCCACCACGAACAGCAAATGGGCAATTCGTGCTGCGGGAGACAGATATGACGGTGGCAACGTCTTGAGGAGAGTAGACATGAACAAGACAGACTGGTTGGGCAGATTGCTGTTGCTGTGCCCAAAAGAGCGATGCCACAGAGGATCCATTTGCAACTGCAGGATAATGCGCGTGATCGGACACATGACCACCACCCAACTCAACAGAAAGTGTTCCGGAAAGAAGAATACACTACTTGTGTTAGAAACTGGCTCTATTAGGCCGAACACTTATCTTAAACACACTGCATCGTGGCAAGACCCGTAATCTACTGTCATGGCTTCGCTGATGCCAATGGAAGCATGTATGGCGTGTAGCCAAGATAGGGTTGATAGTCGCCGCATTTCCGTATAACCAATAATGAAGAACAAGGAATTTGAGTCACCAAGTCGGGCACCAGTGCTGGGAATAAGATATCCTGGATACCAAACATGTAAGGCCACCCAACTGCTGGTTAGAATAAAACGATTGTAGAACTATGCAGAGCTAAGAGACGTCCCTAGACTACAGCGGGACTGTTGTTGCGAGATGACATAAGTTGCGAAGGACTCCCTGCACCGGTTCCCAAGATACCCACTTCGACGGGCTAGGCGTTGGAAGATGCACGCACTGTGCTTATACATGCATACGATAGTAAGGATTTATCACCGATGTATATGGTATCCATCATCAAGAAGATGTTTCATTGGTCTAGGTTTCTAATCATGATTGAAAAGAGAGATGATAACGTAGGATTCGTTCCCAATTCGTATGACCCATTATTAGCGCGCTTGGGCGAAACGGCCCGCAGGGGGTCAGACGGGTGTGGCTAGCCGTATTGCAAGCCCCCCGGACGATCATTTGCTAGGGCTTACCTCGCCAATCCTCCCAATTCCTTTGACACTGAGCTTTGCGAGGCACAAGCGCAGCATTGGGTTCGTCTCACCCGTTTGTTGCTCCAGCCGGTTAATCTCGAATTCCAAGTCGCGTTCCATATCCGTCAAGCAAGCAATCGTCTTATCGAACGCTCCACTCTTTTTCAGGCAGGCAGTCAGATGCTGCTTACTCTCCCCCGACAAGGGACATGCGTTGGCGGTCGCAACCGTAGGCCGTTGTCGGAATATGCCAAGAAAATGGCCACGGTATTCCGGATAATTTTCCAAACAGTAGACGACTGGGTACGAGAATTTGCCTTCGTCGAGATCTTCGCAATACCCTTTCTGCGCCGTGTAATCTTGGAAGTTCATGTAGTCGTCGCGAATCTGGAAAAATCGGCCGAACAATAGTGTCAGTCTGTGGAAATCCACCTGCGGTGTCACCTCGCTCTCTACCTGCATGATCCGAAGCAACATGCGAAACATACCACCAGTCTTGTGGTCGATCATATTGACGTACTCGGCTTCACTTGGACATGCGAGGTTGTGTTTCCAGTACAGATCCCAGCTCTGGCCTAAATACAGGCCCTCGAGTTCTTCAAGGACTGCGACCAAGGCATTTGGGCTTAGCTTCTGCGCGACTTCCTGCACAGCGCGTACGAACATAAAGTTTGCGGTGTTGATTGATTGGGACTGCCCAAACAAGATATGTGTCGCTGGATAGCCTCTTCGTAGTGGTGAGTTATCCTCTAGGTCGTCAAGGATGAGTGAAGCATTGTGCAACGTGTTGATGACAGACATGATCGATTCTAGCCGTTCAGACGGCACGTGAAGCCATGCGTTGAGAGCTTCGATGAGCGCACTCCGGACGCCTTTTGAAGGCATATTGGAAACGTACTTTGAAGGTGCCTCCAGTGCAAGTGCCGACGGCTTGTAAAACGGGTAGCTTGATACCTCTGAGAGTGAAGACTCATCATCACTAGGCTGAGAGCCAAAGAAGCTCGAGTCTTTTCTCTTCTTGAAGGGTGCTTCCTGCATACTGATCGCTGCGCCATGCGAAGTTTTTCTTTTGGCACCGTTATGACTTTGGGGAGTCATATCCTTCCACGCATTCTGTCTGGGGCAAGCCGAGCACCAGTAATGATTTCCCGAGACAGCTAGCCCAGCGCAGTCAATCCAACGTCTCAACTTCAATGATATGTCAGGATGCTTCCTGCAAAGATCATCACGACGCTGACAGAAATTGCGCTCAGCGGCGATGATCATGCGTTTGACCTCCTCTTTTGCATGGTCGATTGAGAGTCCCTTCGTCCTGATAAACAGGTCAACAGCACTGACTATTCTCTTCGATTGACCGGATTGGAGTTCTCTATACTCACGTTCCCAGCTGAAGTAATCATTTGCTAGGAGAAGTCCTTCAGTCGCTGCGTCAATAATTGGCTGTACGAGCGCTTCTTCTGCTTCCGATATGGACACTCCGAGGCTGAACTGGAGCATTGGCCAGAAGACTCTGTCAAATATTAGCCAAGGTTTTACAACAGCACGACTGAGTCACTTACAGCATTCCGCCATTATCGCTTCGATATTTCAAATATTCTTCCATAGTTCGCGCTTCCTTGTCGCTGTTCCTCTCGCTAATAGCGAGCCACACGTCGCGGAACGCCGCGAGCATCTTCAAGCCCAATTCTCGGTCAAGGTTAATACACTCAAGCATACACTGGGAAACAAGCTTCTTGGTTTTCATCGCCCTTGAACCTGGCGCAGCGCTGCTGATATCACTAGGATCTAGAGCAGCGCAGAGTTCACCATGCTCGGTTTGCGCGTCTTCAATGCTCAAGCCTTCACCACCGTCTAGATACACGTTAGAATTGCCGAGATAACCTGGAGTACATCCAAATACCATCATGAATCAAACCCAAGTCGGACAGATAGGCTAAGACCCCCAACCGTTCTGGGATCGCTTCGGGATAGATCAAGGACGACCAGTTTCCCACCGGTGAGAATGAGAAATGAGTAGACTGTTCGCGGCCATCTCTCATCTCTCTGGCCCAGTCTTGTACAAAACGGCGACTTGCTGCATCCGCTAAGTCATCTCGAGGATGGATACGGATAGGGAGTGTTGTGAAGCATCCAGTCTTTCGAGACTCCTCGGAGCAAATCAGTTTGGACTGATATGAAAGCTGCTCCATTTTGCGATTATCTTTCAAAAAAGATGGCTAAAAGAGTAGACGTGGAGATAGTGGTTGGCTGTACGAAGCATCGAACGAAAGCATTTGTACGTAGTCCGCTTGGGATGAAAACATGTGATCATCTATTCAATTTTCTCTAATTTGTCAACACATCCTCTGTCTAGCGCTGCACTCAGCCTGGGCACAGCACCCATCACATTGGGAGAAGTGTTTTTTGTAACGTTAATTGTTGGGACTTTGTGAACGGCTTATTCGTGCGCTCTTGGTGCCAACCAACGAGCGTTCCTATCCGCAGTGCATGTGTCTGTATCTACTGATTCAGCCCCATAGTCTGGTGCATCGCGGGTGCATGTTGGACTGCTTTAGCACGAAATCTTACTAGTCTTACTTCAAGAAGCGCTTACTGTATGTTATGTATGTGAGTGGGCCGTGTTTTTCCGCCAACAATATAACCCGCTGTCCGAAATCCTTTGGGAGGATCTTTTTTAGTGGAGCAACTGGTAGAATCCTTCACTTGTCGCTTACATGGCAGCTATCTAACGCGTGCTGTTTAGTGGAGTGGACGTATCCTGAATACGATACCAAGCAGTTTGAGGCAGCCAGTATATGACTTTAATTTCTCATCTGAGGTTTCTTATCACTAGAGCAATACATCCGTATATGGGCGGTATTGTTATTGCGGATGCACAGAGGTAGGGCATTAGCTACGTTAGTGTACAAGGGCGCGCATGCAGAGCGGCGGAGCAAGGGTCCGATTTCCCATCCGCTCCCCCACGCGTTGGCGCCCATGAATCCTACGCTACTGTCGAGCAGCCGTTTTTCTGGAAGGAGCGAGCTGCTTTAGCGTCGCTGTCCGGATGATAGGCAACGGTGATTATTGACCCTCCGGCAGGAGGATCATGCATGCGTCTGCGCCAGCAACTCGCGTCTCGAATGATAACGCGCACTTTAACTTAGTGAGGCTCCATGATCCGAAACTAGAAGACAGCGAACCGAGCAAACCTTGGCCAGGGCCCGCCTTGGCATGTAAGTAGGGCACTCGGTCAGCTATGCAGGATGCAATCCAATTAATCATTTATCCCATGGAACCACAAACGATTCCTCAACACCAGAGCCGAGCTCCATTTTGAGTATTACGATAGTCACTATGGCAGTAATTTCTCTCTTACAGGAATTGAGCGTAGGCCAGCAGATTGGTGCAGCAGCAGCCATTGTAGGTTCTTGCACTCCCATCATTCAGATCGCTCGAGACGTATTGCTAATAATCTGACTCTTGTAGTCTATCTTCGTTTTGACATCAACTGTAGTCTATGGGTGCTACCTACACCCACTTTCCCACGTTCCAGGTCCCTTCCTGGCCAAGTTCTCTCCGGTGGGTTTCTTATGATCACATAGTTTGCAAAAATCCTGAGTAAGAAAGATATGGGGTATGAGAGCTTTGTATCGTATGAAATTCAATTCGGAACTTCAGGCTCTTCATGAGAAATATGGCAAGATCCCTTGAGGCGGTCATTGCTCAGATCGCTAGGCTAATCTCAAGTAGGACCTGTTGTACGAGTGGCACCAAACGAAGTATCTTTTGCGACCCTCGAAGCAGAAACAGCGATATATGCAAATCAAGAAGATGGACGTTTTTCCAAAGCAGGAACGTTCTTGACTCTTTTCTCTGACCTCGTCTTGAACGCTCCTACTCTAATCACGATTCCGGATCCAGCGCTTCATAAGAGACTTCACAGAGTCATTCAGCAGGCTTTCACACCTCAAGCACTGGCAAGCCAGGAGCCAATCCAGAAGCTGCACATCGAGAAGGCTATCCCTGATTTCGACGAAACTGCTGAGAAAGGTTACAGTATAGATCTTGCAGATAAATTAGAAACAATGTTCTGGGAGATAATTGGCGACCTTGCTTTTGGGGAGCCGTTGATGGCTGGAAAACGCCGTAAGTAGTACGCAAAGGAGTCTAATGGAGCAATCGTAGACTGACCTTTTCCAAAGCAACATACGAAACACTGAAGCAGTTAGGTAAAGGATCGATGCCTATGGTGGAAGCCTTAAGCTTCATGCTCGTCATGCCCGGCGTAGCCCCGGCACTGGAGATGGCTAGAAGTCTCCTTTCAGCGATGCCAATGTCCTCCCAGCTTTCAAAGCTTGTGCCATCCAAAAAACTACGCGAGTAAGTGAACTCAATGGGAATCTATATGCTAACATGTTGACATCTTTCTAGTTGCATTGAGAGGAAAGATGGTAGGGAGGACTTCCTTTCGGCCATCATGGGTAGCGAAAAGCAAGGCTTGACGCTAGACGCGGATGCATTCTTTAGCAACGCAATGGGTTTGACGTCTGTCGCATCTTGCCCACTCATAACAGATCCTTTACTGATAGCCCCAAGACTCGCAGGGTACCAAACTACCGCTACTACATTGGCTTCCACATTCTATCACGTCCTGCGCTACCCAGACGCTTACAAAACTCTTTGCACTGAGATACGTTCTGCATTCAGCAATGAAGCCGATATCACAGGTGAAAGACTTGCACGTCTGCCATTTCTTAATGCCTGCATCCGCGAGACCTTGCGCTTGCTCCCGCCCGCAAACGGTAAAACAGCGCAACGCACCGCCCCTTCGTGTACTATAGCAGACACATACATACCAGCAGGCACCATTGTTTCGGCTGACTTGTACACGATCCAAAGATCGCCAAAGTATTTCGTTAACCCAGCTCGCTTCCACCCAGAAAGATGGTTAGAAGACGCGGACAAGAACGGGTTCAATGGAGATAACAAGTCTGCCAGCCGTCCATTCTTGATTGGAAGCCGAGCGTGCATTGGTAGACATATGGCTCAACAGAGCATACGGCTCATCATGACAACATTGCTATGGAGATATGACTTCGAGCTGCTAGATCGGGACGGATTCATCTGGGAGCGCGACGCTGGCAGTAGTCTCATCTATACTGATTACAAACTTCCCGTACATGTAAAAAAGTTTCAATAGGAGAAAAGAAAGACGACGAATATCTCATGTCGAAATAGTTGAAACTTACATTGAAATGGAATGGAGTAACACTGTGCGCAGCCATGATATCTCAAGATGCAAGAAATCCGTAGGTATGGCTCCGATTAGTTAGACATGTTATAGGCTGCCCAAAGGATCTAATTGCTATCATCACTACTCTACAGAACGCTACACTCGATTCCTTGCTTTATCTTGTAAGCCATTTTTGACTTCTGATAGTTAGCAATGCGATTATAGATGACCAGCTAATGAAACTCGCGTGAAAAAGAATAGCGAGCCATCCATACTGTAACCGCCAAGAAAGCCGTGCTTTTCGACTAAATATCGAAAGCCTATCTCTTTCGATGAACTGAAGGGCCATGTTGATGTCATCTTTCTGGAGCAGAGTTTGGTACTGTTTTGCTGTGTTCGCCCTGTTCAAGCTCCCTATTCCTTTCTCCTCTTCTTCTTCGGCAGCTTTCTCTTGGTTTTTTCGATCGTCGCTACAATCAGCGAAAAAGAGAAGAGAACGAAAGCATGACAGTAATAGTGTGATGAGATACCCTATCACAATTGCATCAGGGCGAGAGACGGCCATGTACATCTGAGCGTACAAGACTAAAGGGAACAAACAGTTGCCCACAGCAGTTGAGATGAGATTAGTGAGCAAAAATAGGCACCCTATGCTCGTCCTTGACGGAGCGTCTGACATTGGATTATGTCGAGGACGCTCTGCCTCCTCATATATGTCAACATAAAAGTGACTTTTAGTGTTGACTTTAATATCGTTGAGAAGTTGAGTACCCAGCTGTCTGAGGACGGCCGGCCAGGTTATCTTAGAGAAGCTTGACAACAAGTACACGTACGAACTTCGTTCCCAACGCGTGTACATCAGGAACGCTCGAGTAGCGTCTTCTGGCGCAATGGTGTGGACAACAGCATTACTCTGGTACACTGTTCTCCAGCCAGCATATAGTAATCCGAGCGTTATCTCAATATCCTCTCCATGCTTGATTGGTGTGCCCATGAACTTGGTTTCGCGAAGGCTTGCGAGGAATGGTTTGATTGCGACTGTGCGATATGCTGAAAGCGCACCAGGAAGGATTGTGACAGCGCCGCATGCTTTTGATTGTGCTGCTCGAGGAATGTTTCCACTCGTCTCGAACAGCATATCGAGCAATCGGGGAATGGTCTTTTGGCCCACGTTTAGGACACTCAGATGGCCTGCCACACCTCCAACTCGACTATCAAGCACTAACGGTGCTATCAATCGAGATATTGAGTTGCGTTCCAATACACTGTCTGAATCCAGGGAGATGATGATATCACCAGATGCTAGAGAAAAGCCGGAGTGTATGGCGAATCGCTTGCCAAGATTTTTCTCATGTCGAATGGTTCGATAGGAAACTGTAGTGCTGGCATATGCATTTGCGGCAGCGGTAATGTGGTTCCATGTGTCGTCTGTAGAGCCATCATCTACTACAACAACCTCCAATCGATCTTTGGGATAAGATGACTGGAGAACGGAATGCAATGAGTGACGAATGAAATACGACTCGTTGTATACAGGTATCACGACAGTGACGTTTGGGAACGTACTCTCATCGGTCGGTGCGGGGACAGGCTCGTATGCAACCCACCACAAGATTGTCCAGATGTAGTCGACGACAGTTATAGCAAACACAGCGATGCATACTCGTCGAATCGGGTCTGGGAAGATGTCCCATGGATTTCCGTAGTTGGTGAATATGTGCATGCAGAGCCATGTCAACAATGAGCCAAGTGCACTCAAGAGACCGTACGCATGTCGGGAACGCATACTGGAAGATTGAGAATATCAGAGAAGAGGGGATAGACTGAAGGATGAAAGTAGTAGAGAAGTTGGGTTATCATCAGGAACAAAGAAGCAGGAAACACATTGTCTGGCGAAATGTTACACTGAGTTCATGTCATGTGGACAAGAATCGGCCCTATGGCCTAGTTACATGATAATACTCCATCATAATCTTTCTATATTCGTGTCTAGAAACATCCTCAATATGCCGATTGATTGACCAGGTCTAGAGTAAATTAAATCAACCGATATTCTATACGCCACAAGATGTTTTCGTATACTTGCCCGCTGTGGATCAATAGGAAGGATGGAACTATGACTAGCGTCTAAGCTGCATAGCCTACTTTGCGACAGGGAACAATACGAGTACCCTCCATTCAATCAAACCTTGACAAGTTCTAGATCCTGTAGTTAAGGACCGATGCACAACACTACGACCAAACGCGGTTCTTTGCGACCAGGAATTGAGAATATCGATTTCGCCTATTTTGGGCTATAGTTCAGTCCTTGATGTTTGTATTTCTGTCGATAGATAGAAGTTATTGGAGAAAAATTATAAACTACCAAATCTAAGCTTGAGTTTGCTAGTAATTGAGAATTTTTCAAGCTATGATATACATTTCATAAACAAGAATATCGATACTTAGAGTGACCGAAAGCTCCCAAGATTTCTCAGACACTTGTTGGATTGACTGTAACATGGATCACCAGCAGCTTGCGCTCTAATAATAGTTAATGTGCTCATGATCCTAAGATTTCCAATCAATTGATTCTCGTCATGTCACCTACTGTTGTAACGTTGAAGGCTAGATCACCATATACCCAGACTTCGATGTGTTGGCCGCGTGATTGTGGGCATGTCTTACCGGTTCGAGGATGCCCTTCAAGCATCCAGTTCGTAATGGTATAGTGTACCAGGATTGCTTCGGTCCGCAATTTAATGAGATGTGAGACTGTAGTAATGGAAGGCTGGAGTGACGGTAGTAGCTGGACCAAATAGAACAAAGACCGAAAGTTATAAGTATGCATACATCAGTGAGATCTGGATGCATCACTCTTCATCCCATCTCAAGCCCAAGTTACCTTCACAAAACACACAAACATTTATCAAAGATGCTTTCTATCCTCGTTCTCACGACCACTTTCGCTGCTGCGGTATTGGGCAGCCCTTACAACCAGCCACCGACGCCTACCATTACTCCTGCACCTGAATTGGTAATGAAAGTTCTTCGAAATTTAGTTCCATGATATGCTAATATATCGTTCCGTCAATTTAGGTCGTACGTCAATGTGGTGGCGTGGCTACCCACGTTGTCGCAAAGGGAGAAACACTCTCAAGAATTGCCGTTGGGCTCGGGGTTGGCGTTTGCAATATCGCTGCATCGAACCATATCGAAAACATTAACACCATCTACGAATCGCAAACCCTCACCGTAAGACCTTCTGGATGCGAGGCTGTTAATAATGGACCTGCATGCACGCTCATGCCCAAGCTTGCATCAGTCCACGTAGCTGTTGCTGGGGATACCTTGTGGAAACTAGCTGTTGCTCAGGGTATTCCGCTGGCTTCCATTCTTGCTGCAAACCCACTTATTGCAAGCAATGCGATCCCTGTCGGGCAAGCGATAGTTATCCCAATAGCACTCTAGACAGTCGGTTTCGACACATTGTGGATTGAGCTACAGGGAATGGAACCGAGAAAGTGATGGATAAAGGGAAAGCGGAGTAGAGGTTGGGTTAAAGCGGGTAGTAGTGGGTCCACCGCAGGGCCATAAATCAGCTCTCAAGAGCTGGTGTCAGGACTTGGCGCACAATAACGGACTGCATAGCTAAATTCATCCTACTTTCCCGTGAGAGCCGCTAGACACATGTGAGAATTGAGCTTTATCATGCAAGTGATTTAATAGCGCACCAAATTACCTGTACACGTTTTACGATTTCATTTGTCAATTGTAACCGTTGATGAGACAAGAGCGCCCGGCAAGATGCGTAATACCTACTACAAGTAGCCAGTGCGTGTGTTATTACCACTGGTGAGAGCAATGCCGTTTGGAGGAGAACGCCAACTATACAATCACAATCCTCATTTGTAATGTCACCCACAAAAGTATAGGAAACCGCCGGACTGAGACAGTACGACGATGCGATATCTATTTCGAAAGCAATCGAAGCGAACATGCCACAGGATACACTATTGCCTACTAACACGAGATTAAAAATAGGATCAACCTCAACATCTTCTTCAGCAAGGATGTCATCATCAGTATAAGTCGTGAAGTTACGTGTATTCTTGCTATAAGACTCTTGCGTCTCAACGAGTGACACAAGGCCCTGGTCAAAGTATACTCGGCTAATGCTGGCGCTGTTGCCACATTTTAATGTGTTTTTGGCGTTCAAAACAGCACCGAGATGACTGATAACACGCATGTGGTTCTGCATATATATGTAAGCGTTTGATAGGAGAAGGAAAAATAGACTCGATCTTACCATCCGACCAGTACAATGTCCTAAAAATATGGTGCCACGGGTGCCAACACCATTATCGTCGGAAATGTTGATACCGCGGAAAGAGCTGGCGTTGAGGTTCGATTCATCGGAGGAATCGCCGTTGCCGTTTGCGACAACCCTAGAACGTACATCAGTAGAGTAGCAATGCCATGCCTCAAAATATATACGAGCGATTGGTTCGCAAGTGTCAACGTCGACGATTTGGATATCAACAGTGAAGGGTACATCTAGCTCGCCGTCAGTTATGTTCCGGTGGATCAGTTTGCTTGAAATTCAGTAGGGACCCTGAGTCATCTCTGACAAAAGTGACCAGTTTTCATTGCTCGAGGATACAACTGACGGATCTGCATTGTAATTGATGGCAGAAAAACTGAATATATGGTGTGTGGGAAGCACGATATTCAGATCGCGCGCTTGAAGGTATTGCTTCGCTATGATTGATTAATGTTACGGTTCAGTCTCATAACGGTGCATCGAAAGCTCACCAGTACTAATTAGCGCTCTCTCTCTCTCTCGGAACTTCTCGACCAAGGAGAGACGACGATTATTCAAATCAACATCATTTCCTCTCGCTTCCAGCGGATCCGTGTGATGGGTCGGAGAGATTTTGTGCATGCTCAGACTCCCACTGCATTCTCCTGCTCCCTATTCCATCTTGGCATTACTCTGGACGGAATGCGCAGTTGCAAGTCAGTAGACACTGAGAAGGATAGCAGCAACGAAGACCTTCATTTCGTTTGGGCACTTAGTAGAAGTATTTCAGAAAGCAAATGCGAGTGCGTAGTGATCGATCTTGGGAAGATAGAGACCGATTGGACGTGCTAAGTGATTGGTACTCTTGACAGCTTTTATACTGGCAAGTTGAGAGGAAAGGTATTGCAAGATCTAAGAAGTAAAGTTGGATATATTCATACCCCATAATCGGTGTCGCCTCATCGCTGCTCATTGATACTCATCGCTACTGCCAATGAGGCTACAATCAAGAAGCTAAGGCATTCAATTCATTTCCTTGATTAGCTCAACAGTCCTCTTACGAGGATGTTTCGTGCCTTTTTCTTTCATTCTTGCCTGGTCACTGCAGGACCACTGCCGTCAAAATACCTGAAACCAAGATTCCGAGCTGTTCCATTCGTATTCTCGGTTGGGTTTGGCATCTTTCCTTCATGAGTTGATGCATAATGGGTAATGTCTAGTTTACACGCCACATCTCGGCCAAAACACTACATTGTGACCTCAATGTTATCGATCTTAGCCAAGGGTTTTGACAAGAGAAAGTTTTTGATCATTTTGGAGGTTGCGTATCTTCTGGTTGTGTCATCGTCACATTGTGTTGCCGGTAAGGTGTTATATTATACGAGAATACAACTAAATCTTCAGCCTCGCACGCTAGAGTGTTCCCAAAAGCTTGATCATTCGTTCCCAGAAATTGCGACGCATCGCATATTATCACGCGTGAAGAGATGTCATGCAAATCCATGCATATCACAGCAACGTTTTTAGCAGCGAAGAATGAAATAAATGATACAGAACATGGGTATATAATCTATTGAAGATTTGTAGATGCAAACGCGTGTTCAGTGCTCAAGAAGGTCAGCCTATACCCTTTCTGAGGCTATTGTTCTCCTGACTTATGTAGAATATTGCCATTAGGTAATGAAATGCCTTTCATGAGGTCTATCTATGGAAAACATCCTGCTTTAGCTCATCAGACATTACGAAGTTCGTCCATCCATCTATATCAACTCAGTAGTGGTGCTGGAAAAATAACATAGGGGATGCTTACTGTGGTTAGCCTACCAGGGACCGCAGGTGATATTCGGCAAGTTCGATTCATTGCAGTATATTTCGATGCCGAAGAAGCAGAAATTTGGCCCTCGGGTCGCTTTTCCCCCGCAATCACCAGCATTGTTGGTGCATTTAGCTCCATCGGTCCCCACAATAGTGCAACAGTAACAGTCGGCATTGATCGATGTAATCATCAAGGTAAAGAAGAATGGCTAGCAAATATAGTTTTTTATGACGGGAGAGAACATCCGAAAAGTCACGAGGTTTACTGTTGATATCTGATTTTGGTAGAGGCAGTCGATTAAAACAGGGATAAGAAATCTTTGTCTTGGCTAAGGTGGGGAGGATGGGACTTGGTTGAAGACACAGTCTGCTACAGAAAGCATTCCTTTGAGTTGTTTATGGTTTACAAATGATGGGACATGTAAAATGTAGCCTAATAGCATGCCTAATCGCTGCCATCATGAATACAAATGACATCCGAGGAGAAGTTAGGAGTCGAGATCGTTTCTTTTCCGACAACAGTTGAAGTTTTCAAATACATTAATACTCTCTATCTATCGGCCCCAATCATGAAAGTAGGCCTATTATGTCATTTCATTGGTCGAGAAGAATTTAAGTGGTGTAGAAGCTCTCCGCGGAACACGGTCAAGATTTTATCAGCATAACTTTTGAACCAAAGCGACTCTGCTTCAACTCAATTAGTTTAAGCAATACAAGAGTTTAGCAGGTCAAATAAGTTACGAAATTCTGTTTCGATTATGAGTGAGAATGTGGCATCACTAGAAACTATGGTAACAATAAGCGGGCTCAAATTTGAGTAATTCTATATTTATCCTATGGAAACGAATGTATAGCTATAGTAAGCCTAGATATATGTGATTTGCGCCTTTCTACCGCATCAAGGTATGAACAGCAATCCCGTGGCTGTAATCGTGCTAAAGATATAATTACCAGATTTTAGTCATCGGTGCTAACGGTCATCTTGTATCCAACCTCTTAGTAATAGCATGCAACTATCCACACTAATTATACACATCGCTTATGCATTGCCACATGGTCCCACAGAGCCACAGGGGTCTTTTGACGTATAGAGAAACAATCCGACTCTCATCGTGGCTGCTTTTACGATATCATAATTGCTGGAGAATCTGGCAGTGGTTTTATGTATGCGTTCCGTAAATGTAGAATACTTAGGATCTCTCCAGTTCAGTAATATGTTCTAGAAATGAGGCCCCCAGTTTTTTGTCGATCGAGCAACAAGGAATTCCCGCATGTGTTGGAAGGTGCCTACTGATCCGCTTATGAATCAATCCATCCCTCTGTCAAGTTATCGCATCGGTCTAACTTGCAATCATTGCTTGCTATCACTACAGTTGCGATTAGTGGAGACGCTCAATACAACGACTAGCACGTCAGGAATTCACCTCCCGTGTGCATAATATATAATTATGGGTTGAGACTGTCGTTTATGAGGATTGGATCTATAGTCATGGATAAATAGTCTTTATCTTCACCGTCCCCATACGCGTAAGCTAGGACCTTGAGAAAAACCTCCAGTATCCCGGCGCTGCACATTCGGAATAGTAAAAATTGCTATCCAACATCACCTAAAAGAGGGAAATCCATTCGATGTGACGAGAAATGGCCCTCATTATTGCTCCATGCTCATGATCTTAATCTGGGACTACGATGCTTGTAGCATTCACAACTTATACCTCTTAGACCTCTGCGAAATATTCCTTCAAAGCTATTACTACGCTTAGAAGTTTGCTGCAAAGATTTCAGGATGCAATATCTGGTCTTTTCTAACTTTGTTCTCCGAGGTTTGGCGTTTCTCGCAGGCAGATAAAGCATTTGCACATTCATTACAAATTTTCCAATGGAGTTGGCCCACCTGGGTAACACTGGCGGTCACACTACGTGAAACTGGAACTTATGCCGAAAGGATTGGATGTGGGTGTCAACGCACGCTAGATCTAACGGAACAGAGCTACTCTACCGGTACCAGAGTAAAAGTATGCTTGACGCCGATGCATCACTTTGATAACTGAGCTCGTCTATTGCTCACTCTCTCACCGATCACGGCTTGCTCTGATGCCACGTCTCAAACCACAGCTGCACTTACACAATGGTAAGTGTTTCCCAGCTTGAATATATTAGTAAAGTTCTCTGATAAGACAAGACCCCTGACACATGAATGGGGTATCGTCATCGTACGCATCGGTTATTTCGACAAAGACGATGAAGCTCACTAGATTGTCGCCTCGCGAAAGCTATGGGTTTACGAATCCGCGTCCAGTCACAATACGGTAATAGCCCCTTATATTACTACCCTGGCGTAGCCTCTCATAGTCGGCAAGCCCAAGTTCCGCGACCCGGACTGCGTGGACCGTGCGCAAAGCCTTCAATAAGATTGCCGTAAGATTTTTCTGGCCGCAAAATGAATTACCTGTACGGGTTAGAAAACAAAGTTGTTGATATACGAGAGCTATCCAGTCTTTACTGGGTCGGGCTTCGGTATCAGCAAATAAGCTCTATTCTGGCTGAAAGAGGCTGTATGTTACCGGATGTCGATCTGTGATTGGCTGGCAGATTAATCACGCTCCATAAGGAGAGAATTATTTCACCTATCTGGCACCGCCACATACTAAAACCTTAGGTTCCCAGTGTGTACGGCAATGACAATCGAGGTGACGAGTGCTCGTCTGATGTCCGCTGCGACGTCTGTTTCGTCATCGATGACGCTGCTCTGGCTTGGCTATTCTTAACCCTAAACTTGAATCATGGGTTGTTGTGGTTGATGCAAAGCACCCGGCAATCATGCCTTAAAACGACAGTAGGCCTTGCATGCGCTTAACGAGAGCGAATGAATGCGTTCTGTGTGACCCCCCTCAGACGATCTTGGCTGTCGATCTTTGGGGTTGCCGGGTCCCGTTCGGGCATACAACGGCCAGACTCCACTTTACGACAGATATAGGAAGGTGAAGCTCGTTGATCCTGTTGGTGGAGTCCATAGACGATAAAATTTCCAAGGCATGCCGGAGGGGGACAGAAATTGTGAGGGTGATGCTAGAGGAGGAGGCTGAGTGGGCTTTGAGTGATGTGGATGACTCTTGCTTCTAGGTGGCTGCTCCGAAATTTCAAAATTGACCTGGACACTGACTTATTTGAGACATTGGATAGAGCAGTAAACTAAGAGAACAATGCATTCTGTTACTCCTAAAACTAAGCGTACGAGATCTATGACTCTCAAAAATGCTTAACCCCAGTCTCTAGGTTTGCAAGATGAAGGTACTGTTTGATCATCATCTCTGAACAGGTGTAATCTTCACCTTAAGCTCTGGTTTGTCCCACAGAGTAAACGCTTTCTGATCTATCCAGTTTTTACTCTCAGGGCATATTTCAAGATCGTAATGCCACAGCATCATAGCAGCAATGATACGCATCTCATGATATGCTAGGCTGTGACAATCCGTTAATATCGATTACTTCTTGGGTCAATAGGATACGTACTTCTTTCCAATACAGTTACGTGGCCCATAGGAAAAGGGCTGTAACACGTCTTTCCTATCTGTGTCGTATCCGGAACCAGGTAGCCATCGCTCAGGGATAAAGTCTTTTGGATCTTTGAAGTTCAAAGGAGAGGAATAGGCAGCTTTTTGGGACACAGCAACGCTTGTCTGTATCGCATTATATCGTTAGCCTAGCCGGAGAAATGAATGCGTACGTATGTGATTGGTCTTTACCTTCTCTGGCACCCATTCGCCGCATATGGAACCGCCTCCCGGTGGCACTACTCGAGGTAGGCCGATTGGTACTGGTGGATAGCATCGAAAGGCCTCCTGAAAGCATGCACTCAAATATTGCAGACGTGGCAACACCTCAAGCGTCAGGTCTTCCTGTGGCAGGGCACGCACTTCTTCAACGACTTTCTTCATCTTGTCTGGATGCATAAGCAGTAAATAGGTCAGTCCGCTTAGCAATGTCGCTGTTGTTTCGGTGCCAGCGACCATGAAGGCTGACGCGTTTGCATGCATCTTTGAGAGAGGCAATTGAACTTTCTGATTTTCTAGAACAAGCTTCCAGATATCAGATTTACCGATGTCGGTCCCTTTCGCAAGTCGTTTATCCACGCGGTCGGCGGCGTGCCGGAAATGTTCGATGTCTTTACCGCGTAGAGATGGAGGCATCAATGCTTTCATGACGAGCCCCAATGCAGGGTACTCTTTTACCAGGCGAGAGAGGGAAAGGACTTTGATACTCTCAAACACTGCTCTGACCCATTTCGTATACTTGCCGGTATCTAACATACCTAACGGCTCCCCAAAGGTGAGATCTCCCATAATGTCAAAAGTTGTACAATTGTACAATTTCACAAGATCAATGTGAGTCTCTGGGTCTGTAGCCACATTTTTGTCAATGATCTTCTTCAGTTTGTTGACATAGTGAGCGATGAGAGGCTCTTGAAGTTTCAAGGCCTTGTCGCTAAATGCGTTGGTGAATACCCTGCGGACCCGACCGTGCGATTCTGATGTTGGTTCCGTTACAACATTATAATCGCCGTTTACGTCAGGACTGTAGGCCTTCATATCTTTTAGGAATTCTGCGCGTCCACCTGCACGGTGACCAGCAATATCTTTCCATGCTTGGGGAGATATATAGCTCAATTTTCCAGGAGCATATCGGACAACTTCACCATATTTTTCATGGCATTCAGTGATCCAAGAAGTTTCCTCGCCACGGGTCAGGCGATAAATGAAATAGAGGTTCGTCGCAGCCGCAATTTTCGGACCAGGAACTAAGTTTCCAGTCAGCACGCGAAAATTGCCACGGTGCAATATACGGTTACTTGCATTTTTTCAAAGGGTGAAGGAAAAGATTGTAAGCGACACCTAGGACCAATCGAAGAGCAATCTATGATTTTCAGTCATGTTGGGATGTAATTAAGTTTGCCCCTATCTTACTATGGCACCTATCGCAGGAAGATACAGGAGGAGATGCTCTTGTCGGATTGCGCCAAGATTAAAATCAAACTTTGATAGGACTGTCATGATTATGACTGAAACAAGGGTGTGCGAGGAGACTGGATTGTTGAGGGCTGAAGGGACTCATGTTCTGCCTCGATTTATACCGTTTTTTCAGGCACATTCACCTCTGTCCTAGGTAACATAGATGTCCCTGCCCCGGATACACTGATATCCGCTTCCTTGCTCATGTGAGTGGCGGGTGCGGCTGTGCATGAGCCTGGCCTTGCACTACTATCGTTACATGCGTTGCATGGACCCACAACTGATATGCGTCATACTTTCTTTCAATTATAGCAGTATTCAATCAGCTCGGACGTGTCATAATGGACAATAGTGTGGACTATGAGTGGACTACTTTGTGATCTACGTTATAGCTCCAGTTTTTAGCGTCGTACATACGCTGTTAGTGGCGGAATTGCCCATCAGTTCATCTGGAAGCCGGCATTGTTGACTTCCGTTCTCCACCGGCCATCGATCATATACGACACACGACTTGGCAACCAATGGTTGCAGCTCAGTTTGTATTTAAAAGGGGCCGTTCTAGACAAACCAATGCTCGGAACGGTTGAAAACGGCTTCCGATAGTAAGCTGGTGATCGGGACGGGCCGGTACATGTTACGCCGCCAGCCTTCAAGACGCCTCCTCGTGACTTGGTGAATAAGCGAACATTGCTCTCTAAGCGAGCACCGTCCTCGAAGCGAGCCCCACCTTCTGCAAACTCTGTGCACCACCACTACCTGTTTGCTGAGTGGCAGCGGCAGACGTTCTCGTCTTGGCATATCTTGGTGTGATTGCGTCTTGTGTGGCGTCTTTGGTTAGCTTTCCAATAGCCTCGTGATACGCTGGCAGCGAGAAGTTATTGTACGTAGTTGTGGCCAATGGTGTAAGCTGTCAGTGTATCATTAAGATGTGCCAATAATGACCTTGCATTAGACCCAACGTACCCGCTTTGAGTCAGCACTAGCGTTAATACCCTCATAACTTAATCTTACCTCTATCTATCTATTACTCTATGTGTGAATTCCGCCTTTTCGTAGTATAGAATCTGATCCAATTTCTCACAAGTAAAACAAACGTCGAATATCTTTGTCTTGAATTTAATTGATGTTGTGAATCCCATGAGCTTGTTGTAACAGCGTCGATGTGTCTCGAATGTACTCATGCCCTTTGCTCAGACCTTTTTCAGGATGAATATAATGCCCGAACGCGTGCGGCATTCCTAGATAACATTTCTGAGTTACAAGATTTCCACTGCTTTCCAGTAGCTTGCCATATTGATGCGCTTCGTCTCTACATATATCAAACTCAGCGGTTACAATATGTGTTGGCGGTAGTCTTTCAAAAGACCTGGCCAGCATCGGTGAAGCCATCCAATCATCACATGCTGCTCTTCTGATATCTGTCTTGTATCAGTGGGCCGTGTTAATGTCGAGATCACGATGGCACATACCGTTGGGGATCCAATAATCTAAGAACCACTGCTCTCTTTTCAGGCCTCCCCAAGGTGCATCCTTGTATTGCGCCGTACTGGGATAACGCTTGGCAATCGCTGATCGTAAGGGCTCTTCAGCAATGAGCCACCTAAAGTCAGTCGAAGGCACAACTAACAATGCCAGTTTGAGTTCTAGTCCCGCATCGCGCGCCATGTGCGAAAGAACTGCTGACATGTGACCACCTGCCGAGAGACCGCCAATCGACACACTAGTGGCATCGATGTTCAAATGATCGGCATGAGCTAGGACCCATTGAAGTGCATCCCAAGAGTCATATATGGCTGTGGGAAAAACGAATTCTGGGGCGAGGCGGTAATCTACGTCGACAATGACAATGCTAGTGTTATTACAAACACTTCTGCACCAGGCTGCTTCGCTATTGAGACTACCCAGAACCCATCCGCCTGGCTTGATATCAGAAAGGTAAATCGTAAATGGCAACTGGTCCTACCTCCATGATAGTTAAGATGTACCGGAAAAGGTCCCTGTCCCTCTGGCGTGTACACGCGGACTTTGATATAACCAGCAGGTTGGCTTACGGAAATTTCAAACTCTGTCTCCTTGAACACACAAGGACCTTTTCATTGTCAGCAAACGAATCATTGGGGGCGCAGTGCCATGCTTGCCTGACCATGTTGGATATGTGAAGCTGTATGCGAGTGGCTTTCGACGGACTTTTTCGATTGGTACTTCCTCAGCTTGACGATGGTGCCCTCCATGTGCGTTCCAGACGCGAACCCATTCCGGGTCGAGTCTCGCAAGCCACTCTTCTGGAGTGCGATACGCTTTGCTAGACTCCTCGTCTGCTACTGATGGTATTTTTACGGTCATACTTCTTGATATGGTATTCCTCAGTACTTGATCAACTGTACTATCAATTCAAGGGATATCACTTGTCTTTTAACAATAAATGTCGGAGAGATTGTCAAAACAACATTTCTACTATGCCATTTTGACAGGTAGGTGGACATGTTTGTCACCCCCGATCTGACCATTACTCACGCATCGGATCTGATAGGAATGCCAAGCCGGGAGACTGCGCTCCTATCAGCACACTGGACCAACGATAAGCGTCCACAAATCGTTCTGAATGGGACCCTGCCCAAATGATCTGGAAGCCGAAGTCATACATAGTGAATCTTGGATATTACGAAACTTGAAGTGCCAAGCATATGCAAATGCGGAAAAATGGACGGGAAACTTGACGGGAAAACGAATGAGCCCGTGCTCCACCATGTAGTGGCTATGTTGTGGCGTGACCAATGTGCACAGCTCAGCCAGCGCAAAATCTCGTCTCACACTTTTGGAGAATAGAGATCAATAGGCATCATTGGTATAAAAAGCGCTAAACAAGCAGCGACTCTCAGAAGTAAACACATCAGCCCTGAAAAGCTTCGACGGTTAGAGCAAAGAACAGCAAATATGCAAGACTCAATAGTCATTGTTGGGTATGTTACTTTCATAAACCTTGTACGTTTTGCATGCTGAATTATATGTAGGTCTGGGGTGATAGGATTGGATGTTGCTCTCATCCTGGCAGAAAAAGGATATGGACATCATACAACAATCGTGGCACAACATCTGCCGGGAGATACCTCCGTCAACTATACATCACCGTGGTATGATAACAATTAGCTAGCAGCTCTGCTCATGACCCAAATCTTACCCAAGCAGGGCCGGCGCGAACTTTTCAGCAATATCTGGTAGCGATGCGAATGCTCTTACCTGGGATAAGGCCGGGTATAAACGTCTCATGAAACTTGCAGATACTCATGGATCCATCGCTGCTATCAGTAAGACGCAATCACTAGAGTTTTGGGATGAAAAGCCAGCTGAGCAGAAGCTGCAGTCTCTTGCGGGCTACTTGGAAGATGTAAGCATATTCTCAAATATCATCATCTCACTACTAACGCATCCAAAAGTTCACAGTGCTACCCTCACACAAGCTTTTACCAGGGGTGAAGTACGGCGTCTCCTTTACTACAGTCACAATCAATGCGCCCAAACATATCCAATATCTCAAGCACCAGCTCGAAGAGCAAGGCGTCAAGTTCCTCCGGCGTAAGCTAGAGCATCTGGATTCTGCTTTCTTGAGCAAGCATACAAAGGTTGTCTTCAACTGCACCGGAAACGGTGCGCGCCACCTTCCTGGTGTCGGGGACGAGAAATGCTTCCCTGTCCGAGGGCAAATTCTGCTCGCCCGAGCACCGCAAATTAAGCAAAACATCATGCGTCATGGCAAGGATTACGAGACGTATATTATTCCGAGACCTAATTCGAAAGGCAACGTGATTCTTGGGGGTTTTATGCAAAAGGGAAACGGGTAAGTACACGCAATACATTTCGTGCAAGCAGAGTGCTCACTTATATTGCATAGCACCGGCGATACTTTTGCCCATGAGGCGGATTCTATCTGGAAACGAACAACAACACTGGAGCCATCATTGGATGTACCGGAGACAGAAATCCTAGCATCCTTTGCAGGTCTCAGACCGGGGAGACTGGGAGGCGCGCGCATCGAGAAAGAAGCGCGGTCTGATGGCCGTATCGTTGTTCATAATTACGGGGCGGGCGGAACGGGCTACCAGGCCGGCCTTGGTATGGCGATGGAAGCAGTGGAGTTAGCTCTTCCGTCCCTAGGGGATTCAGTAGGTAGTCTGAATGGGTTTGAAAAGGCGAAGTTGTAGGGTTAGTCTAGTTTTTTTCATACACTGTAAATAAGGTTGGAAGAATTCTTTGGGTGGAGGTATGTGAGGACTACATCAATTTAGTAATTCCACACCATCCTCACGCTTCTATTCCCATCATGATTGTCGTACCGATTACACGAATTATTCAAAAATCAATGCGACATAGACCGAGTATTCACTGAGATGTCATATCAAATACACCAAGTTACACGAGATGTTCTTTTCCCCACACCATTCCCCATCAATCTCCCATCAAACCCTACAGCTCGAAAGAAAAGCACTTCAGGTAATAGTATTATGGAAAGCTCTTACAACTCCCATCTCCCTTCTCTGCTACGAACTCTCCATCTCGCGCAATTTCCATACCGCAGCCTCGCCAGGCCCCTGATGCGAAGCTCCGATTGGCGGTATTCGCGGGTAGCGCTATCGGCACCGATCGGACCCACTCCGCTCAGCACAAATGGCCGGGGTCCTTTTGGAACCAAAGGATTGCGGGACATTGCGGGGTGCGCGATAGCGGCAGCTGCTAGCTATCATCATTTGCGGAAGATGGAAAGATATACAAAAGAGATAATGGACGCGCAGGGGCGTATGTAGTCTGCAGTATCGTTGCATCATCTACTTGTGCTTTTTTCTCACGCCCTCTTCGCTCAGCTCTTTTTGCGTATATGTCTGGTTGAGTGTGTGTGTGTGTGTGTGTGTGTGTGTGTGTGTGTGTGAGTTATAACACGATGACGGATCGTACTTCTACTGGAAAGATGCATGTGGACGACTTGAAGCATGGTAGTGAAGTCGAAGTCAACGGGCTTGCTCCCGGTGTGGAGAGTAGCACGCTACGACGCGTGCCCGATCGCATTCCATGGGTTGTGCTGCTCATCTTGATCGTTGAGCTGGGAGAGCGCTTCACGTACTTTGGCTTGAGTGCGCCGATTCAGAATTACATCAAGTATGTCCATCCTCGAACGTAACGATATGAAAACGAAGACAAAAAAAAACTAAGTGCTTTTCTTCCAGAAACCCACACGACCCACAGTCTGATCTTCCTGGCGCTCTGGGCCGCGGTCAGGCTGTCGCCACAGCCTTGGGCAACTTTTTCAAATTCTGGGCTTATGCTTCTACTGTCATCGGCGCTATTGTCGCAGATCAGTATCTGGGCCGCTTCAAGACAATTACCCTCGGATGCGGTGTTTACATTGTCGGTCTTGTGGTTCTCGTTGCTACATCAACACCTGCTGGGATCCAATCTGGCGCCGGCTTTGGCGGGCTGGTTGCCGCCATGGTAGTGATTGGATTGGGTACAGGTAGTATCAAAGCGAATGTTACACCTATGTGTGCAGAGCAGTATAAGCCTGATGCGGCGTATACGAAGCAGTTGGCCACTGGCGAGTGGGTGATAGTGGACCCCGAATTGACCGTTGAGCGCATGTTCAATTGGTTTTATTGGGCGGTCAATGTGGGTGCGCTTTCGCCGCTGATTACGGTCAACGTCGAGGCTCATGTGGGATTTTGGGTCGCATACTTGATCCCTCTAGTGTGAGTTGATTGGTTTGCTTATGTGTCTTTTGGTAAAGTTGCTGACGACCATAGGGTCATTATCATTGCTGCAATGGTCTTCATCCTCAGCAGCCGGCTCTTTGTTCAAACACCGCCTCATGGCTCTGCGGTCATTGATGCTGCCCGTATTGTTGCTATTGCCATTAAGGAAGGCGGATTTGAAAAGGCCAAGCCAAGCGCTTTGGAGGCCCAGGGAACTCTTTCGCGCCATCGTTTTGCGCAGTCCCCTAACTATACCGACAGATCTGTAAAGGAAGTACAAATGGGTATTACTGCATGCAAGGTAAGTCCTGCTTCCGCTGATTACCGCATTGAACTAACAAATTTGCAGTTCTTCCTCTTCCTTCCTTTGTACTTTGTCTGCTGGATCCAGATTTGGAACAATCTCATCTCACAAGCTGGAGATATGGCATTGCACGGTACACCAAACGATCTCTTGCAGAATCTTGACCCCATCGCCTTGATTATCTTCATTCCACTACTAGACTGTGAGTACAGGAAACCAAGATACCCATGGTTTGGAATGAAAGTGTACTAAGCAAAGCCAAAGTTGTCATTTACCCTCTGCTTCGCAAGCACAAGATCAACTTCAGCCCAGTCCTAAGAATGACAGCTGGCTTTCTACTAGCGGCCATTGCTATGGCGTACGCAAGCGTGCTCCAACATTACATCTACAAGTCGCCAAAGAACAGTATCCATGTTTGGATCCAAGCTCCGGCCTACGTTCTTGTCGCGTTTTCTGAAGCCTTTGTTATCATCACTGGTTTGGAGTTGGCGTATACAAAGGCACCTACAAGGTATGTTAAAGATACCAGGATGCAATAGGTCATCTATACTGACGTACTGCAGTCTTCGCTCTCTGGTTTCCTCCTTGTTCTGGTTGACAATTGGCATCGCTGCCGCAATCTGCATTGCCCTTGCACCAGTGTCGCAGGACCCGTATCTGGTATGGATGTACGGCTCTCTCGCTATCGTCGGCTTTGTTGCAGGGTGTGCCTTGTATGTTTGCTTCCGAAACTCTTTCCAAGAGGTGCCAGTTATTGTAGGCACTGAAGCGGCGAATCAGATCGGTGTGAGCAAGGTCACTGCGGATGCAGGGAAACTTGCTATCGAGGAAGGAAACAAGTGCGTCAAGTAGTTGGATTGCAATTTTTGCTCATGTTAAATCCTGGAAGCTCGAATTCCATCCATGTTTCTTTAAGCTACCTACAGCTGCCCTTCATATTGTTCTTGTCCAAAACCCTTGCTTCCTGCGGTTTCGTTTCTTATAAAAACATTTTCTAAACCTTTCCAGAAGATTGAATCAATGCGCAGTAATGAGAATTTCAGAATATCCAGTGATTTCGATTGTAATCGGACAGATCTTCGGGCCTGGTCGAGAAGGGCCCTGCACTCTCGTGCCTCTTCGGGACTATCTGCTGTCACGTGAAGCAAAAGAGCGAGATTGCACAATGTTGACCAGCCCAGCGTGCACCCTAGATCGCACAATTAGCAAAAACGAAATGCTTTCCAATCACCATCTGCTACATACAAAAAGGCCAGAATCCGTGAATCCAGCTGATCTTTAGATTGGACGTAAATGCTACGAAGCTGGTGACGCAACCTTTCGCGCCAGCTCGTGCCAGTCGGCACGCTTCAAGCTCCCGATGCTCGTCAGGAGAACTGTTTGGCACTCTTCTGTGCCTCAAAGCATTGAAGGGCCTGAGTATAGCTCGAAAGAGTAGTACTTTGACAAAATGGCCTCCGAGAAGTAACGGACCTGATGAATTGAAGCCCTCGTCTTGTGACTCAGACTGGCTGTCGGCAGTAGCGCTATTCCAGCAATTGAGTTCCTCCATCAGGCCTTGCGCTTTCCTTAATGTGTCTTCGTAGTCTCCTGCAAGATTTTGGACCGCTTTGAGAGTGCTACAGATGTTAGTTCTACATCTGTTGGTGGGGGCTGTGTGAGGAGAATTACAAAAGTGTTTTTAGAGTTGTATGCAGAATGATTGTAAGTTCATACATACGAATGAAGTGCGCAGGAAATAGCGTTTTTCTTTCTTCTTCCAAAAAATCGTCCAAAGATGGTGGCGGGATGAGCCAATCCTCATCATGTATGAGGCAGCTCCGACCCAAGACAGCAGCATGCCAGACATCAATCATCTTGACAGTCCACGACAACCGCTTTCTCAGCTCTATCTCGGCAGATGATATGCTCCAAAAGGTGGGGTTAAAGTGCAAGCCCAGTGTTTGTGAAACAGTCACCATTGCGCCAACAAGCGACCACTTTGTCGCATAATCTGGCATGAGAGGCTTATGCGGAGGCGAAATTAGCAGTAAGACCAACGTTTGTAGTGTGGAAATGTCCGGCCTATGCAGCTCCTGATACAGTACATTCAAGGCAAGGTTCCATAGCTTTTCTGCATCGGGAAGATCGTATGCTATCTGAACGGAGAGATAGTCGTCGAAGCCGGCGAATGGTAGTGTAACCAAATATATTGCGGCAAGAGTAGAGGGATTTGATCGGTCAGGCTCTGCTGATTGCGCTGGAGGAAGTATTGGGAAATGAGGGTACACAAATTGAAAGAATCTGAAAATGTTAGCTGAACAGAAAAAGAAGTATGATCGGTCTTGGTCTTTCGTACAAAGAAATCAACCTGACACCCACATCAGGAGTCACAAGCGTCTCTAGCTGTTTGCGAAAAGAATGATTGTGTGGGTCACACTCCTCCGCCATATCTGGAACATTTGAGACTAGGAGTTGAACTGGATGGATATCCTGCGTCACTGAACGAACAGCCAGTCGTTTGAAAACAAAGTTATTATCCGGGCCAAAATTATATCTTTGCATAAGGCATGGGTCCATGTCCCCTGTTAAGCCACAGACTATGCTTGTCGTCTCAAGTCCTTGCGCTGACGGCGAAGGGAGTCCAGGATATTCCATTGACACATCGTTCGGCGGAGGATCGATGTGGTTGAAGTTCTGTATATTCATGTCAATCATGGCTTGGTCAACCCAAAGGTTGGCTGATGGATCTGGTGATTCGCCAAGCATAAGGTAGCCTTGTTGGTCGAAGAAGACACCGTCCGAATTCAGAACGTTGCTTTGCTGGTTTGTGACTTCTAGGCCAGCTGGCTCTTGTGTAGAGTTGTTTAGGGATACATGTGTTGCGGTTGCTGCAAGCGCGCGCGTATTCTTGGGTGCGGCCTCAAATGTGCAGTCGCGCCCCGAGAGATGACATAGCCGGCATGGAGGCGCAGAGTCGATGCGGCATGCACTTTTGCGCGCCCTGCAACTATCACATGCTCGCTGCGCCTTGCTCATGTATTTTCGCATGTTGCCGCTCATGAAGAAGAACGAGAAGTTGCTCTTCCACGGCGTTATCAGCTGGCGAGCTAAGACCAAGCTAACTCGTCCTTTACCGAGGCGTCAGCAGGACTCTATGATTGGCCCAAATGCACAGGTACTCACGTGATAGAAGACCAGCAACGAGATAGGAAGAAATGTATTAACCTACGGCTGGCAATCATGAAATGGAAAGTAGAGGATGGTCTGGGAAGTGGTTGAGCAATCTGACTTGGCCAGCATCATCTTAGCCAATTGGAACAGGAAGCTCTTGATTTCATTTATCTTGAGGGCATGAGACTTTCTACAAGCATCTTCAGTAGGTACGGCGATCGAGCCTACGACCTTGATAGGCTTGTCCCTACTTGAGAGTTCTGTATGTTGCTTCGGAGATAAGCAGAATACCTGGAACACATGCACGCTGCACTATAGTCGTCTATACATCAGCAGGCAAAAGTTAGTCAAGTGAATGCCCCGCTTACCATGCTTGTATATAAGGAAAAAGGCCGACATTGAATGATATTTTACTCTGGAGTCGAGCTCTGGAAATGTCATGGTGAACACGACTATCACCCTACTACCGCAAATTAGCTCGGTAAACGTATTCACCATTATCGTCACTTCTCTCTTTAGAAGCCATGTCAATGTTGTATATCTACTTTCTTAATATCATATACGTTCTCTTTCCCTCAGTCACTCTGGAACTCTCAGAAGAGTGAAATTATAGGTGTCTTGAGTGAGGCTTCAAGAACGATACCACCATCATCACGTCACGCTCACTCGCGGACGTGAGATACCAGAATTCAGTATTCACATGGAATGTATCGATAAAGCGGTAGCTGCGTAGATCATCCGCTCCTCGGAACGAGCGTCGCGATGGCACATTAAGCTTTGTCCAGGCCTGAAACAAGTAATTAGTAGCGCAGCGGAATTCACAGTTGCCATTGAAGACGTCATATTAGTCGCATCGCACATCCTGGTTGAATGGCTAAGGAGTCTCGAGACTCTATAATGTTACCATCTCAAATCATAGTATAGATGGCATGATTATTGGTGGTGGTTCATGGCGATCACGCATCCTCCTGCCGTTTCTGGTCGGCCCGGGGGGTTCAATCACGTCATCTCCGAGATAAGTAAAACCGATAACGAAAAAAAGTCTTACTGCTTGAATGCTCCTCGATACAATTGCCCGCTGCGACATGCTGCCCTGCTAACAACAGCGACGCTGAAAGCGTCGTACGGACATCATTTCTAACCTGTCATGTCGGCCAACAGGATGCGGCGCCGCAGCAATGTGCCCAGCGAAGAAGAAGTTATTCCCGGCACGCGACGACTCTACGAGAGCGGCCAAACCCTACCAGAAGACTCGTCGCTGAAGACGTCGGGCAATATCCTCCTCGTACCTCAGCCCACGAACTCGCCTAATGATCCGCTGCGCTGGTCCCTGTTGCGTAAAGTCTGGCATTCGCTCCTCGTCCTGTACATGGTTGGCTTCACCGCGGCAACCTCGAATAACGCGGGATCCGGTTCTGACGGTGTGAATGAAGAGTATGGCATTAGCTACGATGTCTTCAATACCGGTGCTGGCGTGCTCTTTATTGGAATCGGCTACTGGGCTCTCTTGAGCTCTCCTCTTGTGCATTTGTACGGGCGGAGATTGGGCTATCTTGCCTCGCTCGTGCTCAATATCGGCGGCCTTATCTGGTATGCACGCATCGACAGTGTCTCCGGTGTAGTTTGGAGTCAGTTGTTCGTCGGAGCTGCCGAGTCGGTCGGCGAAGCTACTGCGCAACTGTCGCTTCTCGATATCTGGTTTGAGCATCAGACTGGTAGTGTACTTGGCATGTACACGTTTGCGACGGCTATTGGCACATATCTTGGCCCTCTAATCGGTGCCTACGTATCTGCCGGACTCGGTTGGCGTTGGATCGGGTACGTTGGTGCCATTATATGCGGTGGCAGCCTTGTCGTCTTTTACTTTGGCTTAGAAGAGACGGAATTCTCGCGCGATCGTTACCTCGCCGGTAATAACGAACCTGTCCTCCTCGACGCTGAGCAGCTTGTCGGTAAAAGCTTTCCAGATGACGCCAACGGCGAGAAGTCCACCCCGGATACGGCGCTTTCTTCCATAGAGCGGAAAAAGACATATTGGGAGCGTATCCGCATTGTCACCCCAGCACCGAACCTACGCGGAACGGGTTTCAAGCAGTATATCAGTCGTCTATGGCACACCCTCCGCGTCTTCACTTTCCCTGCTGTGTGGTACGCTGGACTGCAATGGGGCTTCCAGCAGTCCTGCTTAACCTTTTATCTCACCCTACAAGAGGATACATGGTCTGGCGAACCGTGGAATTACGGGTCCGTTGCGGTGGGCAATATGAACATCCCCACGCTGATTGGCAGTCTTATTGGTTGCGCTTATGGAGGATACGGGAGTGATGCATTCATGCAGTGGATGATCAAGCGCAACAAAGGTGTTATGGAGGCTGAATACCGGCTGTATCTTATGGCACTTTGCACCTTGATTTTTCCTACCGGCCTTTGGCTGTTTGGTATCGGCACGGCCCGAGGTTGGAATTGGCCAGTGCCGTATGTTGGGTTGGGCTTCATCGGTTTTGGATATGGCTGCGCTGGTGATTTGAGCTTGTCATACCTTGCAGACTCGTTCCCGTAGGTCCACTGTTATTGTGATATCGAGGTGCTGCTAACACTCCTAGTGATATGGTTCTTGAAGGCATGGTTGGTGTCGCAGTCATCAATAACACGCTTGCGATGGTATTTACCTTCGTCGCCAGCTTCTGGATCGACTCAGGCCTGGAGAACTGCTTCATCGTGCTTGGGGTGCTAGGTTTACTCATCATGGGGTTGAGCCTACCCATGGCCATGTTCGGTAAGCGCACACGGAGATGGTCGAGGGATCGGTATGCAACATTTGTCCAGATACGCGATGGATTTTCAAGGTAGAATCTTGATGTGGACTATATATTCAGCGCTCGTAAATGAGCTAAACAAAGTTGCGTGCAATTAGCAGGGTATATATATGCGGTAATAATACACGTGAGCCCTCACTACCATGCTTGGAAGTGAGCATGTAGTAAACTCCGAAACACATGATTTACACGAGTGACTATCTTCCCAAAGACTATTTCTCAAGACGCCAAGCCGAAAATGAATTCTTTACCATGTGACCATAACCTGCAGTGTCAAGCAAACTTTGCAAAAAAGGCAGGACCAAAAGTTGGGTTTTTGGAAGACTTGGAGTGGGAACTCCTGAAGCGTGGAAATGCTGGATGGCGGCTCAAACTCCGATGTTGTGACGAGGGCCGGATCCACTTGATGAAGTTCATGCCGGGATGTGATCAACTCTCTGCCCCGAAATTGTCAGCCTAGAAGAGCAGCTGATGTCCTTTTCTGCCTCGGTGGATGCTCCATCGGTGAGCCAATGGATGACGACGTAGCCCCAGAATACTGTGTCTTTGTTAGACATGTGTTTAAAGGGGGAGGATAGATGTCTTACCATCCACAAGGCAGATGCTACTGCAAACCAAGGCGACGCCTTTCCCTTCCACAAAGAAGTATTGTACGATGAAAAGGACCAGAGTGACAATCGTAATGCCAAGCGCTCCTATGATGCTCTTCTGCAGCAGTGCTCGAATGCTCCTTTGCACCGCGGTATCTCTGCTCCCTTCTATCTCAACCATTCCCGCCCGTGTTTTACTACTGCTGAAAATAATTGAAAAGCTCCAGTTTCCGTTTTCTTTGAGCACTGGCTGAAGAAGATAGAAGAAAACCAAAGTGAGGACAATGTCCATAACGATGTCGATGATCAGGAAAGGCACCGTGACCTTCCTTTGAATTCCCGTGTGGCATCGCCCCGTTGTGGGATCCATGGCGGTGTAAGGATGAAGCCAGGCGTTGATGACGATACCGGATGAGGCGGTCATCATGAACAGCATGCTCCCAATGTAAACCCAATCACGACGGCGAGTGACATACGGTGCGCGAACGACATGAATGCGCTCGACAAGAAAGATGTAGCTGGAGACATGTTTAGTAATTGTTTTCATCAAGGTTGGTGGTATCAAGCTAACATTACGCTTTTTGTCAACGCATAGAGGACGAGACAAACCCAGGTAGTTGCAAGGCAAAGGTTGTAGGTATACAACCCTTGCCCACTGTGCAACACCAATAGGGCGGTGACGAACATCATAAGCAGGACATACAAGAGAAGCACAAGCGTGAACGTCATGTTTCGTTTCATACCGGCATTGCGTCTTAATCGATTGAAGCGCGAACCTACAACTGCATTAGTAGAGTAGCTGCGACAGCGAGTTCCAAATACAAACCAAGTAGAAGCGAAGATATCGTCACGATAGCTAGAGACAGTAGGATAAACAGCGTACGATCCAATGGCCTCTCCCCTGCATACGTCGGCGACCCTTCACCCCCGCTCGCTCTCGGTTCCTTGGCAGCATCGAACATTTGGGTCCCAGTGAGCGAAACGGCGACACTCATGTTGAAGGTGAGCAGCGCATCTGAAGAGTGAAGATATCCAAAAGGTCTAAATGCAAATTCGTCATATGAAGTTCGCCCAGCCACCAAGGAAGAATAAAAGTCCTAGCTGCAGGGTTGCAAAAGATAGCATAGCGAATGCGCATTAGCAAACAACGCACAAAGTTTGAGGCTGCACCATGGTAATTTAGAACAATGGCAGACTGTAGTATAGTAGGAAAATGGGGTCACATCGGATCACCCTCTCCCTGTTTGCAGATCACCCCTTTTGCGTGGCGATTTCCATTAGCTTGTAGTTGGTAGCTCCGACTCCCTTTTCCGATCACTCGCCATTGGTCCGCTGGAGGATCTTCCAAGGACGCGGACACTAACGGATGTGCCCAGATCCAGTAATATATAGCAATAGCGGGGAGGGTGCGGAGAACGTGGCGGTGGCGCACGGCATGTTTCTTAGTGGATCCTCGAGGGGGCACGGAGGTGAACGGAGGCGGGCTTGAGGGGGGAAAGAATGGGTAAATGTGGCTTCGGACATGACATTAGAGTTTGGAGGGACACAGGGTTGCATGTGAGTAAGGAACATGTGGATTGGTATGTGGTTATTGATCTGCTGTGACCGCCTGTCAACACCCAAGTTCAACGTGTTTCACTTGGAGCCGCGCACCCAAACAGAACTAACGCTACGGACGGACCTCCGGGAACGCCATTATTTAGTGCGCGTCGCGCATCTGCCTAGCAGATATGTGCTGGAGAGAGGTGATAGGTCTTCATTAGTTCTTGTTTTTTTTCTCTTCGAACTCAAGTTGCTTCGATATTGATTATATCTATTACTCGGTAATCCATTTGTCATTATTGGCGCAAAGGCCTGTTGAATGAGTGTGTGTTGAGATATTGTATAGAATGATAGTAGGAAGTGAAGCTATTCTACCACACCTATTTGTTCAGCTCTTTCCTGCTCATTCGAGGGTAGTATGTATGTACGCGAAGTTATGTGGCTGTTATATTCACGTGGTTTGTCGTATGACTATCTAATAAGAGTTAGGCATACCCCTCCCAACAGAGGGTATTCAGTCGTTGCATTTGAGATCGATTTCTCTACATCTCAACATCAGTCACATGATAGTTGCCACGCGATGATCATCATCTTCTGATGTAGCCGTTGGTTGGCTTCGCAGTGATGAAACTCGTTACAAGGCTTTGCTGATCATGTTCGTTAGTTAGGCCAATTGAAATGACCTGCATTGTGGCCGCAAACGCAATTCTCGCTACCAATGATGATTAGGTGGCGAAGAAGCTCTGCGCTAACTAAAAGCGCTCTTAGCGTTACTAAAGTCATCTTTGGTGCCTGAGATCTTGATGGCAATCTTGAGAAATAGAGATAGACTCGGAAGCTGTAGTTGGATCAGTCCTTCTTGTCTTGGGGATTTATGGATCCAAACAACCCTAACTGGCTGGGCAAAGAACGTTTGCCGACACGTTGTAACGGCTACGTGACTAGCTGCGGATATCATCCGTCTCGGGATACTTTCCATTGCCCCCCTTCCTCCCATCGTCACTAATGCCACTACTTCTACTGCTAATGATCTATTTTTCTTTGAGTTGGCCATTGCGTACGTTGAGAGCAGTTAAATCGACTCGATCGTTGCTTGCAGCCTTTTCAGTTAGGCGTCAACACAGAGATCAACTCAATTCTATTATGCAATGGTGTCAGTATAGAATTACGCAATAGGATTTGGAGTAACAATTTTCTATAATCGTTAAAAAAAAATACCTCCAAACTTGAGGCTTGTGTACTATGTTTCAAGATCCGTGTGCTCTACTGCTAATAATCTCCCTGCGAGCTCAAGCCTTAATTCCGCCTCATGCGTTTGAAGATATTCGCCTTTTCCTGTAACTAGCCAAAAGACCACTGATATGACGAGCATCACACCAAAAACCGCAATGGCCCAGTTCATGTCGGATATACTAGGGTCGGGCATCCCTGGAAAGAAGAAGAATACTGTAGTTATCGCACAGTAGATAACGCTGATCCAGTTGAGAAGCGCGCCGAGTCTACCAAGGTTGAATGTTCCTCCGACGGGAAGCTTGTCCCGTCCAGCGACCAAGAGACAGGCGATTGGTATGCCGTAAGATATGGTCAAAGCGATCGTGCTTACACTCAAGATTGCCGTCAGAACTGTCGAGGCAAAGAAGTAAAGTACGCCCACAAGGCCAATGATAACGCCCTGCAGCCATTGCGCTCGCACAGGACCCATCCAGTATGAGTCGATTTGGGAAAAGTAGCTGCTGAATGGAAGCCCGCCATCTCGAGCAAACCCCCAAGTTAAGCGACCGCCGGTGGTTGCGAGGCTTACACCTTGACCTAGTCCGTTAACGATGAACAACACCATCAGAGTGGCTCCGCCCTTTAGTCCGACCGTCTGATGAACAAGTTCGATAAACGGCAGCCCAGTTGGCCCATCGATAACAAGATCTAGGTCTTGGACGCAAAATAGACAAACCACCATGAAGACGAACCCGCTAGCTGCGCCACATACAATGGCTAGCCAGATGACTTTCGGTCCGTTTGACCTCGGAGATGGAAGTTCTTCGATCACTATAAATGTCGGTTAGCCCACCATATCAACTTGAGAGCGGCTGAAATACTTACTGTGGATCGTCGAATCAAAGGCTGTCAATCCATAAGCGGCCTGCAATAGCCCCAAAAACCATACAACCCCGTCTCCCCATCCCGTCTTGTTCTCCCAATCTCCGAACACAAACTTCGGAGACTGATACTCCATCCCGTCTTTTACACCCACCGAAATCAACAGTGCCAACATAATTGCGAAGAAAAGCCCTACAAACCAAACGCCAACACCATCGTTAAAAATCGCCAAGAATCTATTACTCCGGCATGCTGCAACATTTACCACGGTGAAAAGCAACGTGACACCTAGGTAAACCATGAAATTTACCCACGCTTTCCCCGCGCCATCCCACTCTGGATCAAACATGACCTTCATCCCCAACAAAAACTCGGTCATGAACGCTACTTGACTCGCAGTCAACGTCCACCATCCAAACGTATTTATCCACGCCGTCATGTATGACAAAAACCGCCCAGCCTTGTTTTTCTCGAGTAGGCGATGGACCCAATACGCTTGTCCCAGGGCCGTGGGCATGGAAGAGCACAGTTCTCCGAGTGAGAAGCCTACGCAGATATTGCAGACGAAAACTAGGACCAGACCCCAGAGAATTGCCACGGGTCCGCCGTTAGTTAAGCCTGAGCTGAGGCCTTGGGCAAAAGTTGCATAGGTTCCGAGGATACAGAAGGACATGGCGAGCATGGAGATGAAGTCGAATTTGAGTGTAAGGGCCGCTTGGTGGTAGGATGACGAGGTGCCGACCTCGATAGCATTGGTGGAGGCTATGGAAGCCTGGCGGGCAGGCCCTTTGATGGTTTTCGCGGAATCCATGGCTGCTGTACCCATAGCTGCTGTACTCCTTCGTTTACGGCTTAGATGTTTACAAATTCCGGGGGGCCGAGTATTCCTATAAAGGCCTCGCTTAACGAAATGTGAGGCCTTTCGCGTGGATAGCAAGTCGATCCAGTCCGCCGGGAGTTTTTATTTTAGCAGGAAGCGTGTGCTATAAGGGAAGCAACCGAAGCGAGAACATGGATTGAAGTGTAGGTTGAAGAGAAGAGAGCCAACTCTCTATCGTGCAGTTCTCCTGTCACCCATACGGGGCCTTGCAAGCAAATAACGAAGATAGATATATACACTAGCTCTCCACCCTGCCCCTCTGCGGAGATGGCAAGATTAGCGCTATCAGGACGGGATGAGATATCATGGGACTAGGGTAAAAATCTGCAGCATGCACCCCAGTTCTTTGAAGGACTGGGATAGCCGAATCAGAATCAAAACTGCCCCTCCCACAACAATGCGACTACGCAATGATGCTAACGCTACCTACTTTCTATCTGTTCAAACTCCATAGATAGATAGTACTCTCGTGCGCGACAGTGCCTAATATTTGATGCAGTTTCTAAACTTCCTCTATAGTGATTGAAGCTGTCATTTGTGTTGTTGATGGGCGTAGTTGTTATCCGGCTATTTCGGTCCAGAAAGCCCACTGGATCCGGCACTAAACTAAGAGAAGAAAGTCCATGCGCAATCAGCTCCAGCGTGCTTTGCGATCCAGATAGAGGCGGCACAGCCCAAATACGAATTTGGGGGCAAAATGCCCGTTTTATTGCCAAATCTAGGTATACCTCATGTTCACTCGAGCCATGCGTCATTGGCTTGAGTTTGTTCCGACGGTCCACTGGTTCAAACTCGTGGTTTCCCAGATTACCGGTCCCCAATGAGCTTGGCTACCTCAAAAATGACTTCCCCGCCTCCTTGGCTACGACTATTTGCATCTGCTCGTGTCCGGATTATGGTGTTAAGGAAACGTAGTGCAGGCATCATGCCACGTGAACTCTGCACAGTGACTTGCTGCAAAGGTACGCTTCAGCCAATGACAAGGGACCCAAGCCGGGGTACATATCACTATCATAAGATTGCTGACATTGTAATTGGAGTAATAGCTAGCTGCTCCCCAAACGCTTTAAAGCTTTGACTCTTTCCTACAACTGTTACCTATACTTTTCGCAGTTAAGTCCGCTTATCATTTGTTAAAATCTGTTGAGCTCAAGTCTCGATAATGGCTGGTGGGAGGCACCGACAAAGCTAGGTTCCTTCAAGGAACATTGCTTGTTAGTAATAC